GAGCTTCTCATTCAGTTTCAGATATCTCTGTCACTTTGCTCTACTCCTCTCCCTCCTCTCATTCGTCTCTTTTCTCTTCAGACACAACACATCACTCTGTTCTTGTCTTTACGATCACAACCCCAAAGCTAACACATTCGATCACTACCACCATAACAATGAAACCATTGATCTTCTTAGATTCTCTTCTGCTTGGAACCATCTGACTTTCCCTTCTAAACCCAAGAAGACTCTCAAGATCGCTGTGGTGGTCAAGAAATGGCCGAGGAAATCGCAAGCTGGTGGGCTCGAGCGACACGCGCTTACTTTGCACCTTGCTCTAGCTAATCGCGGCCATGAGGTTCATGTTTTCACAGCTGCTTCTCCGTCGTTCCCTGAGTATCAGCTGAAAAATCTACTGTTCCATCTCTCTGAGCCAACCGCTGCTGGATATCTCGATCAAGCTTCTGTCTCGCAACAGCTTCAGGTAAACAGAGAATTTAAATGGTTGCTGCGATTGCACCGCGTTTGCTGGTTTAGACGCTGCTATTTTGCGTTTTCTCCGGTTTGCATTTTAGTGCATCTGCAGAAATTGCTTTAAAAATGGCCAAATTCTACTCAATATTTAGTTTAGATTAACTTAAGATTAATAAATATGTTGGTTATCTATAAAAAAGAGTAATAAATATGGTACATTAATCCATTTTGTTCAAAAAATAATTGTTCAATTTTTTTTTTTGAAATTTTTTATGATTTTTAAATTAATTAATTATAATAAAATTTTAAGATTGTAGAAAATTGTTAATAATTTTTATGTATTTCTAATCAAATTTTGATTTTTCTTTAATATGTGAAAAATTTACTTGTTATAATATTTTAGTCAACCGTTGACTAACGACTTTAAATAGGCAAAGGCTCATAATTAGTCAATGGTTATGGTTTAAAGTTGAAGAAACGAAATTTAACTGACGAGATTTTCCCGGAAATCGCAGACGCAGAACGCAAGTGGAAGACCATTTGACGTGATTCACTCAGAGAGCGTCGGGCTTCTCCACACAAGAGCCAAGAATCTCCGTAACGTGGTCGCGTCTTGGCATGGAATCGCTTACGAGACTTTTCACTCGGACATCATCCAAGAACTCCTCCGTCAAGCAGACATCGTGGCCGCCACCGCAGCTGGAACCGAAGAAGAACAGCCACCGCCTTCATCTCCAGCTCTGACGGAGCGAGCGAAGAGAGTCGTCGAGGAAGTCAAATTCTTCCAACGCTACGCTCACCACGTGGCAACTAGCGATCACTGTGGTGACGTACTCAAGAGGATTTACATGATTCCGGAGGAACGTGTCCACATCATTCTAAATGGCGTCGACGAGAACGTTTTCAAACCGGACGTTTCAAAACGTGAGAGTTTCAGAGAGAAATTTGGCGTTAGAAGCGGCAAGAACAAGAAACCTCCTCTGGTTTTGGGAATTGCAGGGAGGTTAGTGAGAGATAAAGGTCATCCTTTGATGTTCGCAGCTTTGAAACGAGTGTTTGAAGAAAACAAGGAGGCACGTGAAAACGTTGTCGTTTTAGTAGCTGGAGATGGTCCATGGGGAAACAGATATAGAGACCTCGGGTCTAATAATGTGATTGTTCTTGGACCATTGGATCAAGAAAAGCTAGCGGGATTCTACAACGCGATCGATGTGTTTGTGAATCCGACTCTTCGAGCTCAAGGGCTCGATCACACTCTTTTGGAAGCCATGGTTTCAAGCAAACCGGTCTTAGCTACTAGGCTAGCGAGTATCACTGGGTCAGTACTTGTCGGTCCACATTTGGGATATACTTTCTCACCAAATGTTGAGTCTCTTACCAAGGCGATTTCGCGGGTTGTTAGCGATGGAACTGAGGAATTGCAAAGGAAAGGCAAGGAAGCGCGTGAACGGTCATTGAGGCTTTTCACGGCGACTAAAATGGCTGATTCATATGAAAGGTTTTTTCTTTGCATTTCGGATCAGAGCTTTTGTACGATACAAGCTTCAAACATATGAGCGATAACACTAATATAGTTAAAAACTTAAAATTAATCAAGGATTTGGATTGTTTGGTTTCATGTTAATGTTTAGTTGGTTTCATCACGTTTTTGCGTTTGGTAAAAAGGCTAACGATTTCATCATTTTGTTGGGCATGAAACAGAGAAAAGCAGAGTAAATATTGATACAGTTGATTATAACAAGTACTAGACAAATCTATTTGAGACACTATTACTAGGAGATTTCTTTGATATTATTACTTAAATCTAGAAATCTGCTAATAACTTTTTTTTCTGCATAAACTTATTTATACAAAGTCTTGGTTAAGTAGATATTAGTACTTGGCTTGAGCTTCATGGGTTCCTGGAGAGATTTACAAAGAAACTAAAGGAAGTGGTTCTTTAGTAATAAAGAGAACCTTGCCACCAGTTTCCTCTTGAAACATCCTGCGAGTTCTGTCCATTAGCATCGTCTTCTCCGCTTCTTCTACGCTCATTTTTAACCTGAAAGATGTATTTCCTAATCAGTCTAGTCCTCTGTTTTTGGAAGTGATTAGCAAACCAAACATAAGTTAAGAAGACTCACTGCAGGGTAAGTTTGGTTGGTGGTGGATCGAGAGTATACGTCTTGACCACCGTAGTAAAGAGAAGAGCTTAGATGACATGGCTCAACTCTGTCTTCTTGCGCATTTAAAGATTCTCTACGTTGAGCTGTGTAAACAAAAAAACATCTTCATTAGAAAAACAGAGCATTCTTGATTCAAGAAAAACAGTGTGTTTTGAGACTAAGTGAATAAAGAAGGAGGAGGAAGTTGCATAAACCAAAGTGTTTTCTCACTGACCTTGTGAGCCATGTTTGGAGTTTGAACCATCTCTTCCAGAACCCTGAAATTCAAATCAAGAAACCAAAGATTAACCCTCAAGAATCAACCAAATCACTCAAGAAACACCAAATTTAAAGAAAAAGGAAAGTAATAAAACCTTGGAGGGATGAGGGAAAATGGTGGAGAAGATGCCGGAGGATGAAGATGGTGGCGAAGGATCTTTAGAACCGAAGAGTTCGGCTGTGAAAGAAGAAGAAGTAGAAGAAGATGAGCCAACTCGTCCTTTACCCTCCATTTAGTAACTTCTAAAAACTCACACTCTAATCTGATTCTCTTTGATTCTTCTTCCGTAAGAGACTTAGAATAGTTCTGTAAGTTGTTTGTAATGACAATAAGATCTCAATGGGGGTATTTATACATAATGCTAAAAGGGATGAGGTTATGGAGATAGTGGAGCCATCATCATCATGATCATCCTCATCATCATCCATCAAGAGAAAGAAGCTTATTATGGGTATGTTCTCTCTTCTTGATGCTGAAAAGACTATTGCTTCTTTTTTTCCATTTTTTAAAAGTTCTCAATTTTATTTATTTTATTTTCATTGTTAGAGAAATTTAGAAGCTTCGCTATCGCTTTTCTTTGCCATTCTTATTGGTTAGTGTTTATTCTTTTTAAACTTGTAACGATTTATTTCAGTTTTTCCACTATATATTTTTGATAGTGTAAACCTAAAGACAAATTTGGATTCTTTCTCTATTTCGGATAGAGACACAAACAGTGAGATTCTTCAATGACTTCAATGTTCAATGTCTCTGTTGTGATAACAAAAAGAGATAACTTAAGAGGATAAGTCCGGCGCCGGATCTCAGGTCGGACCAATGATATGTTTCCACGTGTCATTCCGAGGATAAGTTGCCGACCTTTCTTGATCACATAGAGCCAAAGTGGGAAAGAGAACCGAAGAAGAACTTGAGCTTCTTTAAATCGCACGCATGTTCATGTGATCCGTTTTTTAGATCTAAAATAGCTTCCTTTATTTTTTTTAATTAATTAAAAAAGTAATATGCCAAAATAAATATACTATTATATTGGTTGAATAATACTATATGACTTTATATCTATAAATAATTTTTTTTAAGAAAATAACATTTGATCAAAGACGAGAAGATGAGGTCCACAAAATTCTCCCACTTGCTGAAGTCTATTCGTTTTCTTCTTCTTTATCTTCAAGGTTCACAAATCAATCATTCATCTTTTAAAAAAAAATGTAATGAAAAAAATATCTTGAAACCTTTTTAACAATGAAAATAAATCAATGTACTTTTTTTAGTTTCATGTATATTAAATTTCTAGTGATCTTCTCTTCTTTGGTAGATCAACCCAAATTTAAAGCCTATGATAGAAAGAAGCGTCGGTTAAGAAAAAATGTTTAGCCAAAATTGATCAAAAATGTTTATTGATAGGTTGATTCGGATAAACCAAAATGTCTTCGCTTAAACCGCAACAAAAAAATAGACTTATAAATTTTATAAGTTTTTTATTCGGTTTAGTTGATTATATAATTTCTATACATTATTACACGATAATAACATCAAAAATTAGAATTCACATCTATATAAATGCGAAAGAACTGAAGAAAACTAGTGTGAAAGCATGAACAACTAAAAATTGTGAAAGAACTATAGATGTCTTACTCGCAAAGTATCACGTGATGATGATACACGTTGTTTACACGTTGTTCGGAAGAAGAGATTCCATTCGGGGGAATAAAACTCAAAACTATTTCTCATCATATAATATATCAAATTGGAGACCAAAAATTCTAGCTGCCTTGAAAAATTGGTACATGTATGGTCCCTTTGCGTATATTTCAAAAGCATCATCAAAATACCAATATAATTATGGACATTTATGCATGTATGTACTCAAATCTATATATACACACGAGTATTGACATTAGTAAGTTTATATTTTCGTTGAGTTTCAATACCTAAAAGCAGGCAATGGACTGAGAACTGTCGTCCATTTTAGATAAGAGATAGATTCTCACGTGAGAGATTCTTCTCACTGGTCCCTATTTTACTTCCGAACAGAAGTCAATAATATTATGTATGATGGTATTTATGTGTGTTTTTGTCGACGTATATGTATGTGTAAAGTATAATATATGCCTTTTGTTTTAGACTTTTTGATAGAGAGAAAAGTAAAATAAAAATTAAAAAAAATACTACATAAGAGTTTACCCGTTATAAATAATATTTTAAGTTGTATATGATCAAGAAATTTTTGTTTAGAGTAAATAACTAATTTCTGCTCATTAGAAGTTACATTTGATATTGTCTCAAAAACTTAACGTCTACATAAGAAAACTATCCAAATAGTGGATATCCAACCAAAGTACATGCTTTAACGTTTTCCTTGTTCGAAAATACATGTAACATAAACACTAATATATATTAATGTTTAATCACACTTTGATTATGGTGTAGAAAAATATGATTTTAAATCTCTGGATTTACTACTGCGCCACCAATCATCACTTGTCCTGAGATCAATTAAAAACTTTGACATGTTAATCACATTTCCATTATAATATATTTGTAAAAAAGGATTCGAGCCAAATATATGGATCAATCAAAGATACTATAGTTTGATGCTTGACTGGGATTAGGATTACACATTATGCGATATGCGTTAGGGATAAGTTCTTAATATATAGTAGTACTATTTAGTTAAGACATCGAAGAAGAAAGGAATGTTATCTTTTGTTTTGGTAAACAAAGGAATGATATCTTAATGAATAGATTGGAAAATATTCTCTTTAACTTTAATATGCAGATTTTGTTTGACAACTTTAAATGTAGATTAGGCTGCCAATTATTAAACATGCTTATTTCCTTTTATGCGAGAACAAGAATTGTCAAAGACTTTTTACCTTGCTAGCATCTTCTTTTGAGTTTATATGGACTTTGACCATTTAGAGAAAATTCTCTAGAATGCCGCACATAAGAACGAACAATACTCATGATAGATCAATCTCTTTCTTTTTTTTGGGCCAACTTCCTATTATGGTTTCAAAATTGAGAATTGAGATCCTCCAAATACAAACATAAAGGTGGGGTTTCAGTGTGACTACAAAAAAACAGAAGAAAATAAGCGTGAGCGGCAGGATTCAAACCTACGCGGGCAAAGCTCACATGATTTCTAAAGTCTTTTGACACTAAAAGTTCATCTAGTAGGAAATTGCACATCATGTAAATTTACAAAGAAAGCCCTTCAAAATTTGAGAGGGCAGAAGATATGAACTTTGAGTTTTTGTAAGAATCAAAGAATTTGGTCCACTTACTGACAAATATGAAGCATCGGAACAAGAGGAATATAAAAGAAGACTCTCAACAAGTCTTATTGTGATGTAACAGTTACCATAGCACATTCTGAATCTTGATTGGATCAAAGTCAAAGACTTCCCCACTTGATATTCTTCCCAGTAGCACAATCACACAAGTTCACAAAATGGAAAAACTTCAAATCTTGAATCTCAGCATCTGAAAAGATCTCTTTTTAAGCATGTTTTGACTCTGTTTTTGAAACTAATTAGGTATAAGTTTGGGAATCTGAAAAGTGGTTTTGTTTCTTCATTTTCTCTTATAACCGCATTGGGATGTCTGAATTACTATCAAAGATATACAGATTCAAGAATCACATGTATCACAAAATTATATACATGTGAACGAAGAGTTATAGTCAGAAACAACCAAAGATTTGAGCTTTATCAAATTAGTACAAAAAATCAAAGGTGAGTGGTTACAAGGGAGCCAAATGTTGAGTCTTGAGTCCCAAGTCAATGTCAATATTCACGTCCACGTTCGTGTGTTGAGTTTTAGCTTCCAGCTCGGGAAAACCGAAACAACGTAGGCCATCGCTATAATTCATTTCAAGTAGAGAGGAACCAAATGTAAAGACAACGACATCATTTGGGCCTGTGCACAATAAAGCCCAGTTAACAGAAGTCATGGGCCAGCGAAAACAGACAAGGCCCATTTATTCTTTTCACTCTGCAGTCAAACAGAGCACCTTAATAGGTCCTGACATTCAGTTTGTGCAAAAAGATGCACAAGCACACATAGATAAGAAGCTGAAACATCATAGAGCAATAAAATTACAAAAACATAAAATGAGGCAACGTTACAACGACAATGAAGATTTATTTGAGATGACGATGGTGCTCATTCCTCATCAACAACCATTATGTAAACAACAATGGGACTTCTCACGTTATGGGTACCGTCAGACCAAATTAGATTTGCAGACGAAGGGACTTCTGAGTCGACGTCTCTGCCTGTAACAGTGATTCTAAAAGATTGCTTCTCGTTCACTCTCTTAAAATATAGAACACTAGGCGTGACCTTGATGCTAAGCTTAGATCCGTGACCTGCGATTACCTTTGATTTGTATGTAGAGTTTGGCGTGCCGACGTTGGTCAACGTTCTGTTGAAAGTCACAGTGAAGGTGCTATCGGTTCCTGACAATTTGGCTGACATTGAAGGATAGTTAAGGTTTCTGGGCAAGATTTTGTTTTTTTTGGAGCACTTGACAGTATCACCCGAGATGATTCTAAGGGTCTTTGAAGTGTAGTTCATGCCACAGAGAAAGGCGATGTGGTCTGCTTTGTCCAATTCATAGACAAGTCCAGGATTTAAAGCGGCTATCGGGTTGACATGCCCAGCTCCATAAGCAAACTCGGTCGATGCGATGCCACGTCCATTAGCTTTTACGGGCCAAGCTGCAAAGATTAGTTAAGATAACAAAGTGTCAACAAAGGTTACTTGTAGCACAAGAAAGTAAAAATTGCATTCAGTTATTGCTTACCAGTTGTCATGATGGCAGATTGAATCATGGAAGGAGACCATTTAGGGTGAAACGTCTTGACATACGCAGCCACCCCTGCAACGTGCGGACAAGCCATTGAAGTTCCAGAGAAAACAGAGTACTTCACATGTCTGGTGTCATCTTCAGACGGTTCACCATCAGGTGAAAATGCAGCAAGGATCTCCACTCCTGGTGCTGCTATATCCGGCTGCAATTCATCCACCATTGTCTCTCAGACCGGAGAAATAAACAGAATCGAGAGCATAAATGTTGTTTCGTATATTATTACCTTGAGAATATCAACAGCGATGGTGTTTGGACCGCGAGAAGAGAAAGAAGCGATAACAGGAGATGTCCGATTGAAGATTGTTTCCGTTTTTAGAACAGCCGCTTTTGGGGAACTGAGAAAACAAACACATAAATTTTAGGATAGAGATGGAATCACGGTGAATCTGGAGCAGATATACGCATGTATAAAGAAGATGATTGTTTACTCTTGGGACACAATGTAAGAGACAAGAGACTTAAAGTCTTTTGGTTGTAAATCAGAGGCAGGTACATGGTGAGTGAATGCAACGTCTGGTCTAGGGGATTTAGAAATGATTGCAATAGCTCCAACTGATTTAGCTATCTTGAAACCACTCGGACCACCGCACACTAAGATCTTTCCCTTCACACGGCTTTTGTTTAGACACGCTGGCGCACAAAGTCTAAAAAAAATTTGAGCTCATTACGTACATTGATTAATTGACACTGTCATCGTCATAATGAAGATACTGTTTCGTAAGGAGAAATTTACCCTGCGGTTTTTGCGTCACAAGCAGACGAAGCTGCAGATTTTCCGTACACTAGAGGGTACTTCGTTCCTTTCATATCGAAAGCATTCACCGACCTCCCCTGTTACGACAAAGGAACAGAGGAGTCATTAAAAGAAGGAAAAAGATTACTATAAGTCTATAACAAAGTGTTACTTGATACTTACGACAAGTGTCTTGCCGTTTCCGAGAACAACTTTGGTGATAAACCCACGATTCGTGGTGCTGGCTGCAACCGTAAAGATCCATGGCGCTACATGCGAGACTGTGGTGGGATTTGGACCACTGTTACCCGCAGAACTTACAGTGAGAATCCCTTTGTCCATAGCGTGAAAAGCTCCGATCGCTATCGGATCATCTTCGAATATGGACGGGAATTTAAACCCAATAGAGATGGTGATGAGGTCTACACCGTCTGCAATCGCGTCATCGAACGCAGACAGTAGAGCTTCCGAGCTACACCCTGACTCGGTGCAGACTTTGTAAGCGGCTATTCTAGAGGCCGGAACACCACCTCTTACGGTTCCATTGCCGATTCCAAAGAAACTTGTGTCTTCGACTGCATTTCCAGCAGCTGTGGAAGCCGTGTGTGTACCGTGGCCACTAGTGTCCCTTGTACCTTCGCTTGTGTAATCTCTTGCCCCAATCAACTTGCTGAAAAATTATAACAACAGATTTTACGTCAAAGCTGAAGCTAATTTCTAAGTATATCTCTAACTTTGACCGGCGATACTAATCTTTAGAGAGAAATTATTAATTTAAGAGTAAATTACTTGTTGCAAGTGAAGTTCTTGCCTCCGGAACAAACACCTTTCCATTTCTTAGGAGGAGGACCAAAGCCTTTGTCGGAAAAGCTCATAGATTCCGGCGTGATCCCACTGTCGATAACTCCGATAATGGTATCACTTTCCACGGTAGGGTTCCTCTTTGTCTTCTTTCCTTCCTTCAACCCCATGAAGTCCCAAGACGTCGTCGTATGGAGTTGTAACATCTTGTTTGGGAACACAGACACAACTCCCTCCATTTCTAAGGGAAACACAAAAGGGCTTTGATTGTTAAAACCTTTACAATTATTCCAACATAACAGTGTCACGATCGAAGAACACTCACCGGCAATTAGTGTACGTTCTGACTCAGTGAGCCTGGCTGCGAAACCGTTGAAACTCCTCTTGTAACTTCTCACCAAGCGACCTTCGATCGAACTAAAAAATATATATCACTTATTAAAAAACTTCATAATTAACAAATAATTAAATTAAAACGGATTATAACTAATCATGATTAGAGAAATTAACTAATTAAATCACACCTTTCTCCTGTGACCTGTTGAAGAATACTCATGTGATCGGACGTTGGTATGTAGTCTGCGCGAGATGAAAGTGAACCCATGTAGACTATATACACCTTCATGGATCATCATATATCATCATCAACTCATCATGTATTATGTATAACGGATAATAGCTAGGTAATACCGAGACGGATAAGTAAATCGAAAACGGTAAAACTAAAAGTTTCTAAAAACGGGTAAGGTAAAACGCTTAGAGCATCATTATAGGTAGTTTCTTAGAGATAGATCTTAGTAATATTTAAATAATTTATTTGTAAAAGTGATTGTTAAGAGATAGTATTTTTGAGTTAAGATTTTTGTGTGATTAATGGTAGGCTCTTAACATGTGGTTCTTAGAAAAAAAAATATTAATATAAAAATAAAATTTATAATTATAGAAAATTTAATAATTGTTGCAAATTAAAAAAATTAAAACATACATGAGATACAATTTATAACATAAATCACAAATATTTTAAACTTAATTTCTTCTATATTTTGTCCATATATGCTCGACCAAATCATTCTTCAATTGTTGATGCATACCTCGATCACGAACTCGAGCTCTATTATCGAAGAAATTAGAAGGCGTATCTGTAGAATATGTGAAATCCGCCTAATCAAAACGTGACATGTGGCACCTCTTAGGTATTAAAGTGATTTAAATTAAATAGTTAATACCTTAATAAGCTAAGGAACGTTCCTTAGCTAAGGAACGTTCCTTAGCTTATTAAGGTATTAACTATTTAATTTAAATCACTTTAATACCTAAGATTCAGCTAACATCCCCCCTATAATGATGCTCTTAGTGATTATAAGCTAAAAATTTGTTTGGTTGTTTTTTTTTTTTTGCTACTTAAACTGTTTTTTATGCAAAAGAAGTGCTATATATTATCTATTGAAAATTTGAAATAATATTCAAATTCTCGAAAGAAACCGATTAGAAGCAAAAAGTAAACACTTATGTGCAAATTAGAAGTCAATTTAGGACTTAAGATAGTATGCATGATCGTTAGTAATACCTGTTTATCTTCATCTACGACTGCTGAGACTGAACTCAAGAACAAAACAAAGAGACATGAGTGGAGGCAAGTGGACGCTGCTAAATTCGCCATTTTTTTTTGTAAAATGTAGTAAAATTACTGTAAGCTTTTTTTTGTTTTGTTTTCTATGATGATATACATGCCAAGATCTCTTTATATAGGAGATCACATGCACCGTGTCCAGAGTTGTCTCAAACGATTTGCAGCCCTATTTTAAAAACTACTAAAAGTATAAGTTTTAAAAATATATCTACATATATTTTTTTTGTCGTCCTCCAAATGCATGGTAAATACTGCCAAAGCCCAAAACTGTGGAAGAAATTAGTTACGGTACATTATAATCATATATTATATATATATATATATATATATATTGATATGTTATTATACAATAATCAGTTTATTTGATCTAATTACATGCAACACATATATGCGATTATATGAACGACTTCATAAACAACTTTTTGATGTGTAGTTTATCTCGCAACATTCGGACCTCCTACTAATGAGTTTTACATACGCCATACCAACGATGATTCGATGAACAATTAATAACACTTGAAACTGTGATATAGACGGTTTTGCCTGTTAATATTTTCGACCTCTCCACTTGTACATACTAAAAATCAGAATATAATTTATTTTCTCCAATTTTGTGTCTTTGACTATAAATTATATAACAATTTACCATATTTTAGTATAATTTTAATCAAATTTTACCATAACACAATAAATGAATTACAACTTAAAATCGTTTTAAATTGGCACAGCCGGTCACTAGGCTTTAGGAAAAGTGGGAATCCGATTTATACAGTTTTTTAAGTTAGTGGTGAATCATTGGACTATCATATGGAGTATTTGATTAGTATATGGAGTATTTTAAAGTGATTAGTCGATTAGATGCTTATTCCCTTTATATATTTGATCAGTTGGTCCATGAAACAACATCGATGCCAAAAAAACAATAAACAAGAATATTGCAAAGAGATATATGTAACACATTTATTAAAATAAATAAAAAACTAGTCCCAGACTCACATAATTAAAGCAAAAATAACATTCCACTATAGTATTTTGGTGAACTTATAATACTGTGACGGCTGAGACTGAACTCGAGAACAAAACAAGGGGACATGCATGAGAGGAACCAAGAGGAGCTGCTAGATTCGTCATTTGTTTTAATTAAAATGGATCAAATTACTGTAAATATTTTATAGCCATGATGATGAATATGCAAAGATCTTTATATATATAAATCTTTACATAGGACTATAGGAGAGATCACATATACATGCAACGTGTCAATTTTTTTTTTTTTTTTGGTGAAACATATCACGCTATATGTAGGTAACAAAACTAAAAACATATCATGTATATTGTGATATGTCGACAAGGATCCAGGTTAATGCGAGATAGAGTCAACGACAAAGGTTTAAGTTTCCGGAGAAAGACGATCCAAAATGTAGGTACAATCTCTTTTCTCTGACATGCAGTTACCAAAATTCCATGACGTAATTACAATTTTTTTGTATACGTAATTACTATTTTGTCACCATGTTTTTTTTTTTTTTGCCAATTTTGATTCTCATCAATTAGTTGTCTATCAAACAAATCATTCGACTTATAGCTAGGTTGCCGATCTTTCTTGATCACGTAGAGCCAAAGTGGAAACGAGAACAGAAGAAAAAGTTAAGCTTCTTTAAATCGGATTCTTTTTAGATTTGAAATAGTTTCCCTTTATTTTTTAATTGATAAAAAAGTAATGTGCCAAAATAAATATACTATTGTATTGGTTAAACTTTATATCTGTAATTAGTTTTTTTTTCTTTTTTTATGAAAAGAAAACAGAAGAAGTTAAGCTTCTTTAAATCGGATTCCTTTTTAGATTTTAAATAGTTTTTTTTAATTGATAGAAAAAGTAATGTACCAAAATAAATATGATATTATATTGGTTAAATAATACAGTATTATGACTTTTTATCTGTAACTAGGGGAGGTCCCCGCGCCGGGCGCGGGGTTGTATGTTGATTAAAACCAGAATTAGTCATTTAGGGTTATAAGTTTTAGACAATTATTGATTTAATTTTGTCAAGAGTATAATTTTTATAACGACATTAATATAGAATTATGGTAAAACGCCATAACGTTTGATATATTATTGCGAGAAAATAGTGATTATTATCCTCTGAATATAATAAAATGCAAAACGGAAAACTAAAATAATTAGAACCAGAAAGTATAAATTTAGTAGTCTTGGTTTGCTCATCAACAACCAAAGATAATCAAAAGATCAAAATTGGATGTGTGACATTTGTCCTTTCTTCTTGTTGGAAAAGATATCTCGCATCCTCGTTACATCATGACAAGAATGATTGAATAGAATCTGCGAACACTTGTATGAAGCAGTACCTCTTCGTGTACCTTAATTATCAAAGGAATATAGTTTCAATGTCTCAAACCCCAACATTACATGTTAAATAACAAAACCAAAACAAACTTTCACTCATTTCAGTTCTTGCAAATCTGAATATACATATGGTAATGTCATCAATACATTGCCTCCACTCAGCGAGAAATTTATTGACATAAAACCACGGTAGTCGATACCGGAGACGCTCACAACTACAAACAACAGAAATTTCAAAGGTACCAATAGTTCTTTATTTCGAATTTAATAATGTGACAATGATTAGGAGCTTCATCTCTTTCAGCAACATAAATGGGTGTCGTGATGTTTCCAGCTTTCACAACAACACCATAAACATCTAAACATCCAAAAAATCAATTTTATCGTATATCCTATAAAAATTTGGTAAACAACAAATTCGTAAAATATTGTAGCTAGCTCTAGGGTTTTTATAACCATAATTAGTAATCAACAGTTAATAGTGCTTTTTTGTCACAAACAATTAATAGTGTCTATATGTTGATATATGTAATAGAATTAAATATGAAAAATCTATATATATATTTAAACCAACAATATATTACTCCATCCGTTTTCGAATAGTTGTCGTTTTAACTATATGCACACAAATTAAGAAACTATTAATGTTGTTAGTTTTTCAATATAAAAATATCATTAATTATCTACCTAAACATAATTTAACCAATAGTAAATCAAGTTGCATAATAAAAATAAATATAAAAAATAAAAAAAGTAATAAATTTTGCATCGAAAACTGAAAACGACAACTAATTAAAAACAAAAAAATTTCTCTAAAACGACAACTATTCGAAAACGGAGGGAGTATTAAATTAAAGACTATAGACATATATATATATATGGAGACTAAACATCGACAATATTATGTTAACTTACAAAATCCTTCAATTTTTACAAGACATTGAAGTTTAAAGATTATGTTCATTTGGAAACTCCATCCATTATCCTAAAGATATTGATGTCAAAACTCTTACGTTAATTTTGATATCACGCTCTTCCTCTCCAGACTATTTAAAATAATTGCCCACTCGTCAATGACTGGCTTCTTGGGAGTAAATTCAATCTGATGAGTGTTGTCTTTGTACTTTTGTAACAGAGTATGGGATCACCTCCTGCTCCTCTGTGAGATCTTTCGAGGTATGGAATTTGGTTTTCTCTAGGATTTATCCTCGACAAAGATTGTTTTGATTTTGGACTGAGATACTTCTTGGACCGACGCTCTTCCACCCATGAGATACTTAAATAATTGTCAACTCGTCAAAGATTGGGTTCTTGGGAGCAAATTCAATCAAATGAGTGTTGTCTTTGCACTTTTTCAGCGGAGTCTCGGGATCACCTCATGCTCCTCTGTGAGCTCTTCCTAGGTGTGGAATTTAGTTTTCGCTAGGCTTTATCCTCGACAAAGGTTGTTGTGCTCCTGGACTAAGCTACTTTCTTGGACCCGACACTCTTTCTCTCTAGAGTCACTTAAATAATTGCCGACTCGTAAAAGACTGGCTTCTTGGGGACAAATTCAATCTGATGAGTGTTGTCTTTGTACTTTTATAACGGAGTCCCGAGATCACCTCCTGCTCCTCTGTGAGCTCTTCCCAGGTGTGAAATTTAGTTTTCTATAGGTTTTTTCCTCGACAAAGGTTGTTTTGCTCTTGGCCTGAGCTACTTTCTTGGACCGTCGAGAGTCACTTAAATAATTGCCCACTCATCAAAGACTGGCTTCTTGGGGCCAAGTGCTGTATTTTCACTTTTGCAACGGAGTCTCGGGATCACCTCGTGTTCCTCTGTGAGCTTTTTCAAGGTGTGGAATTTGGTTTTCTCTAGGATTTATTCTCCACAAAGGTTGTTTTGCTCTTGGGTTGAGCTACTTTTTGGCACCTGACGCTCTTTTTCTGTTGAGACACTTAAATAAATCTCGCTCCAATCGTCCTCTCCAGTCGTTAAAGACTGGTTTCCTGGGGACAAATTTAATTCGAGGAGTGTTGTCTTCGCACTTTTGCAACGGAGTCTCATGATCACCTCATGCTCTTTTGTGAGCTCTTCCGAGGTGGGAAATTTGATTTTCTCTAGGCCTTATCCTTAACAAAGGTTGTTTTACTCTTGGGCTGAGCTACTTTATTGGACCCAACGCTCTTCCTCTCCTTACACTTTTAAATAATTGCCGACTCGTAAAAGACTGGCTTCTTGGAGATAAATTCAATCTGATGAGTGTTGTCTTTGTACTTTTGCAACAGAGTCTCGAGATCACCTCCTGCTCCTTTGTGAGCTCTTCCCAGGTGTGTAATTTAGTTTTCTCTAGGCTTTGTCCTCGACAAAGGTTGTTTTGCTCTTGGCTTGAGCTACTTTCTTGAACCGTCGAGAGTCACTTAAATAATTGCCCACTCATCAAAGACTGGCTTCTTGGGGGCAAGTGTTGTATTTGCACTTTTGCAACGGAGTCTCGGGATCACCTCGTGTTCCTCTGTGAGCTTTTTCAAGGTGTGGAATTTGGTTTTCTCTAGGATTTATCCTCCACAAAGGTTGTTTTGCTCTTGGGTTGAGCTACTTTCTGGCACTTGACGCTCTTCTTCTGTTGAGACACTTAAATAAATCTCCAATCGTCCTCTCCAGTCGTTAAAGACTGGTTTCTTAGGGAAAAATTCAATCCGATGAGTGTTGTCTACTTGTCTATGCACTTTTGCTACGGAGTCTCAGGATCACATCCTGCTCCTCTGTGAGCTTTTCTGAGGTGGGAAATTTGATTTTCTCTAGGCCTTATCCTCAACAAAGGTTGTTATACTCTTGGGCTGAGCTACTTTATTGGACCCAACGCTCTTCCTCTCCTTACACTTTTAAAGAATTGCCCACTCATCAAAGACTGGCTTCTTGGGAACAAATTCAATCTGATGAGTGTTGTCTTTACACTTTTGCAACAGAGTCTCGGTATCACCTCATGCTCCTCTGTGAGCTCTTCCCAGGTGTGAAATTTAGTTTTCTCTAGGCTTTATTCTCGAAAAAAGTTATTTTGCTCTTAGGCTGAGTTACTTTCTTTGTCCTAACGCTCTTGCTCTCCAGAGTCACTTAAATATTTGCCCACTCGTCAAAGACTGGCTTCTTGAGGACAAATTCAATCTGATGAGTGTCGTCTTTGCATTTTTGTAACGGAGTCTCATGATCACCTTCTGCTCCTCTGTGAGCTCTTTCCAGGTGTGGAATTTAGTTTTCTCTAGGCTTTTTCCGCAACAAAGGTTGTTTTGCTCTTGGATTGAGCTATTTTCTTGGACCTGACGCTCTTCCAGTCATGTGCCTTCTTTGCTTAGAAAAGTAGCATCTCAAGTGGTGGTCTATAAGTTCTGGCGACAGCGTAATAACATTCTCCATAACTCCTTGCGGCTTGCTGCTCAAATCATTTTCAAGATGGTGGAGTGGAGCTACGAAACATCATCACTTCGAGAAGAACAAAGCTTATGCTTATTTGGATTCGTTATCTATTTCCAATTCTTTCTTTACTCTATTGTAGTCTTGTTTTTATCTCTTTTTTTGCCAAGGTTGCTTTTGTGTAATTATTTATTTTTTGTAAAGCCTCAAACTTCATTTTAGATCATATTTACATGTTTAGGAAAAAAAAACAATTCGGAAAAATGGAAACAAAAAAAAAAAGATAAGCTTAGTAACTAATAAAAATTTCTGTGATCCTTAGCACAAAACAACTCCGCATTCCTGCAACTTTCAGCACACATATTGTTTAGCATCATTCGGGTGCCATTGCAAACAATAGTAGCCAAAACCATCAGAAACAATATCATAGAAACGTGATCGACTAATAAATATTCAGAAATTATATATACATGAAAAACAACAATATTCGAATACCTCGAGTGACTTCTATTCTAGTGAATCTCATGATAAATATGGTGATATTATCGCATTGTTTACTCCGTTCTCTCAAAAATTTACAACAGTATCCACCATGTAAAATTAGAAAATTAAAAAATCGATAAATTAAAGATAAAAGATCAATTGAAACATCACCTGAATCTTCTTCATGCATCGTGGTTGCTTTCATTCATCCAAAACATACAATCGTTTAAAAAAACACACACTATTAGAATTTATAGTAACGAACATAATATGTATAGCTAAAAAAGAAGAAGATGAGCATACCAAGGCTCCTCGGAGGCAACGATGGGTGTCTGAAAATTTTAGCAGCGTTGTGCCTCTTGTTGGTTGGAATTGGAACACCAGCTGGTGTATAAGGATCACACATAACCTACATGTATCAATAATCAATAATTTCATAGATCTGATATAGTTCCAATTGAATTTGGTACACTAATCAGATAAAACAAACCAACCAGGATGTTGTTGCCTTTATTGAAGTTTAATATAATAATTGATGATTAAGCGTTACATAGATGGATAACGTGACAATAAAAAAAAGGATAGATAAAAACAAGCTTTACGTTTTTACACGCCTTGATTCAAGGCAAGACACCGAAACACCCCGTGAAACGAACCATGTTCATACCTAAATGAAAAATCCATAAAGAGATCAGTATTTTAAAAAAGAGATAAAACTTCTGATCGCATCAATACAAAGAAATAATAATAACTGAGACTCCTGGTGAAAGATAATCAGAGAGAAGCAAGAGAAAAAGAAGAGTTCCCAACGATTATAGTCTATTAGGGTTGTTGAGAGGCCGTTATTTGCATCATGATGGAACCAATAATCAAACTGATATCAAATTATGTAAATACAAAATCAAAGCTTCTTTTTTTTTTTAGTGAAGAATATGAAATCTAAGCTGCTCCCAAAATATTATGGGAAAGCTTATAGATTTCTCAATACATCCAAGCATAATTTAAATATTAAACATGAAAGTACTAAAGTGAAAAACTCACCATATGTTCGATTGAATCAGCAATTTAATTGTCCTGGAATTGTTTAACGACGTTGCATCCGTAACCTATAACCATACATAAACACCATGAATTAATATGTGTAAAGCCAAATAAAATAAAACGCAAAAAAAAAAAAAAATAGAAAGCAAAAAAAAAATGGGGTTAGTTATGATTTGAAAGTGAAACCTAGAGAAGGTATTTATATTAAACTGAAAGGCGGTGTACGATCTAAATTTTTTAATTTTTGAAGATAATTACAACAACAAGAAAGGAAGATTTATATATTGTGTTAGATCGAATCTTTATCAAAACAATTAATATTCCTAAAAACAATTAATAACTACTATGGATATTAATTATAAAGAAATATTCCTTATTTTATTTGTTAAAAAATGGAACAATAACATAATTTTTTTAGATTTACAATTATATTTGACATTTATTTAGATACACCATCATTATCGGTATAAAATATAAAAGAAAGTTTCTTTTATTTTATCAGATTTGTGAATTTAAAGAATATATGATAGTTGTTTTGATATTATCGGCAATATGTATATATTTTAGAAAAGTAAATTTTACTTTTAAAAACAATTGGCTCGTAATTATCACAACATAAATTTATCATTAATATATCAAAAATATAATTAAACGATTAATTATGAGACACATCTTTTGTTGAAAAAAAAAACAAAAAGAACCAAAAAGGAAAAAAAAAAAAACACACTGAAAAGGAAGGGAAAAGAAGAAGACACGACCAATCCTTTCTCCGACGTAATTGTATGTGACTCACGACCATGATTAGATTGGTGGAGATTAATATACCCGTCGATTTTGTGCATGCTCCAAAACGAATATCCTCAAAATCTTTCCCACGAGACTCATTAGTCTCTTTATTATCTAAGGTAATTTAAAAGAATAGTTTGTTTGATTGGTTGCAATTGTAGGATGCAAGATCATATCAATATGATGGTTTAAAGACAAAGAATGGCCAATATGATGGTTTTCTATGATGATTCAACAGATCGAAAGGTGGTTTTCTATCATTAAATTGCCAAATTTCTGTTATTGCTATGAATATATGTTTTACGGTAGGGTAACAAGTTCTTGGTGGTCATTGAATGTTCTTGGTCGAACGATAAACCGTCATAAAAAAAGGTATGTAAACTACATTTGATCCAAATTTATTTATTTTTTTTATTTTTTCGTGTTTAAGAATATTACTATTTTTTAAAATGTAAAATATATCGAATATTTATATTTTAGGGTCATTTATTTATTTTAATATTAATTAATATTCGAATTAATTTAATAGAGGGTATTTAAGTAATTACGCAAAATCAAGAGGTCAACAAGAGCTGAGAGTCCGACACGTCAGCAAAAACACTTCTCAAATATTGTTATTTATAGATTAGTTTTCTAATAAAAGAACGTTTGATCAGAGACGAGAAGATGAGGTCCACAAAAATTACGCATATGCGGAAGTCTATTAGTTTTCTTCTTCTTTATCTTCAAGGCTCAGTAAATCAGTCACTAATTTTTTCTAATAAAAAAAAAAAAAAAAAAAAAAAAAAAAAAAAAAAAATCAGTCACTAATTTTTTCAAAAAATAATATTCTTTTCTTCAGAAAAAAGTATATGGTAAAAAATCTTCAATCCTTTAATAATAAAAATATGATATTAATGTAATTTGTTTAAGTTTCATTTTACATGTATGTTAAAATGCTTTGATATAGATCTCTGTCTTGAAGAGATGTGCGGGCTTACGATCCAAAACCTTTTAGTTATTAAATTTTCTTTGAACATCTTAGATATACTAAGTTACTAACCCAAATTAAAGCCTATATCACAGAAGGAAACGTAACTAATTAAATGTCAAAAAGAAACAAAAAGTAGTAAGAAAAGTAACTAAACATTCTTACCAAAAAGAAAAAATACTAAACATTGTGAAAGGACACGTGAATACACGTAGTTTACAAACTTTACACGTTATTCGGAAAAGAGATTCCATTCGGGGAAATAAAACTCAAAACTATATCTCATCATATATTTAATCAAATTTATAGAATCATATATCATAAATCTACAGTTATAATTAAATTCCATTAAAAATGTATAATTTTGTTTTTATTACAATATTTGTCAAAATCAGACAAAACAGAATCAAAATACAATGTTATCTCGAACGAGACTTATTTTTCCCAAACGTAAAAAACCGAAACTCAAAAAACCGGGAGAACATTGCTTACATGCATTGTTAAAATAACTTTATATATATATATATATATATATATATTCTTTCTCCGAATTTCCATCACTTTTCCAAAGCCATAATGTTTTTGCTCTCCACGGTGTACCATAATGTAATAATCCGGCAAAAAATAGAGCATACATATTATATGATGTGCCTAATTCTACGAATCAGAGTATTAGAATATTTCCGAAATTACGTGACAATTGACATAAATAAATATGCATATATTAAGGATTTGTAAAATATTTAAAATTTGTTGTTAAATATTGACATAAATATTGAATTATGTTTGTGTACCATGGAGACAAGAAATTTTGGAAAACCAAATGCAAATACTAAAAGACCATGGACAATTTGTAAGATTTAGAAACAGAAACAAAGCTTACATTTCCATCCATCTCCTTCTTGGTTGCAAGTTTATGGTTTGTCAACTTGTCTCCGCTCTTGGTTCAGGAAACGTTTTTTTATTTGGTCAATAGAATTCAGCTTATAAAAACAAAAACTAAATGTTCTAACTTTAGAGTAGCTTACACTATTTAGAATTTCTCCATGTTTATTACATTTAAGATATATGCTGACAACTATAAATCTGCCTCATTTAGCTCATAGCATAAACAACTATGGGGCTTCTTACATTATGAGTGCCATCAAACCAAATAAGATTTGCAGACAGAGGTTGTTTTGTTCCGATACTATGGCCTGAAACAGTCACCACGAAAGACTGCTTCTCGTTTGTCGACTTCATAGACAAAATACGTGGCAAAACTTTGATGCGGAGTTTAGAACCAGGACTTGTGACTACCTTTGCTTTGTATGTAGAGTTTTTCATACCAACGTTAGTGACAGTTCTCTGGAAAGTTATGTTGAACGGTTCTGTTCCAGACACTTTAGCCGACATTGTTGGGTAGTTGAGGTTTCTTGGTAATGTCTTGGAAAGTTCCTTCGTGCAAGTGCTGTTGTCTCCAGATATGATTCTTATGTGATCACTACTGTAGTTTAAACCACAGAGAAAGGTGATGTGGTCTGCTTTGGTCAATTCATAAACGAGTCCAGGATTAATCGCAGCTATCGGATCCACATGGCCAGATCCATATGCAAACTCAGTTGATACAAATCCAGGACCAGAAGCATTCATTGGCCAAGCTACAAAATTAGGAGATCATCATCAATGAGTCTCTTGCGGGACAAGTAAGTTTGTTTTTCTTGATAAAAATTTGGATCTAAGTTTTTCTTACCAGTTGTCATAATGGCAGATTGGATCATAGAAGGAGACCATTTAGGATGAAAAGTCTTGACATAGGCGGCCACGCCTGCAACATGTGGACAAGCCATTGAAGTTCCCGACATAACAGAGAACTTTACATGTCTAGTGTCAAACTCGCTTTCAGTCGGTGTACTGTCAGGTGAATAGGCAGCGAGGATCTCCACTCCTGGTGCTGTTATATCCGGCTGCAATATCAATCCACAATTGTCTCTCAGAGCTAGAAAGAGAAGAGAATAATAACGAGCACTAAGATCATTACCTTTAGAATATCTGAAACGATGGAGCTTGGACCGCGAGATGAGAAAGAAGCAACAAGAGGAGCTGTCTGATTAGAGATTTCCTCACTTTTCAGAACAGTCGCTTTTGGATCTCTGCATACACACACAGAGAAAAACCAATAAACATAAAGAATTTGAAGAATGCAGCTATATAAACATAGAGCAAAATCATTACTTTGTGGAATTCATGTAAGAGACGAGAGACTTGTAGTCATCATTGGATAAGAAAGAGACCGGGAAAGAGCGGATAAAAGCGTGGTCTGGTTCAGGGTTCTTAACAATCGATCCAACAGCTCCCAATTTTTGAGCTTCTATTGGACCTTTCGAAGAATCACAAAGCACAATCTTCCCTTTCACACGTTTTCCATCCAGACACTTTGGCTCGCATAACCTGCAAAGAAAAACAAAAATTCGAAAATGTAAAACAGTTTTCGCTAAAAAGGTAGTACTGTTTCTTGGACAGGAAGTTACCTAGCCTTATCCACGCTACATGTACTCAAAGCAGCAGATTTTCCGTAAACCAGAGGATACTTGGTTCCATTCAGATCGTACGTATTCACTGATCGTCCCTGTTTTCATAAAAACAAAAGAGCCAAATTGGTTTAAAAGACAAACATGCTAAAGCTATGATGACAAAGATAAGACTTTTTCTTGATACGCACGATAAGGATCTTGCCGTCTCCAAGAACAACTTTAGCCATAAATGCACGATTCGTAATGCTAGCCGCAACGCTAAACACCCACGGTGGGGTACTAGAAACAGTGCTGATTTTTGGTCCGTTGTTACCCGCTGCGTTAACAGTTAGAACTCCTACAGCCATAGCATGAAACCCTCCAATCGCAATCGGATCTTCCTCGAACGGTGGAATGTCATCAAGAATGATGGAGATAGTTATGACATCCACACCGTCAGCGATTGCGTCGTCAAACGCAGAAATTATTGCGTCTCCGTCGCATCCTTCATTGTCGCAGACTTTGTAAACAGCGATTCGAGCGGCTGGAACGCCACCTCTCGCGGTTCCATTTCCAAGTCCATAGAAGTTTGAGTTTGCGACTGCGTTTCCTGCAGCCGTTGACGCCGTGTGTGTGCCGTGTCCACTGTAGTCTCTCGCTGATTCATTTCCTTTAGATTTGGCCTTGTAGTCTCTTGCCCCAATGACCTTGCTGCAAAATTAGAGAAATTGTGGTTACACAAGACTAAAAAAGTACACATAAGACAAAATTCCCAAGTTAGGGTAAAAAGTGTATTTACTTGTTGCAGGTGAAGTTTTTCCCGCCAGCGCAAGTTCCCTTCCATTTCTTAGGAGGAGGACCAAAGCCTTGGTCGGAAAAGCTGTTGGATTCGGGATAGATTCCAGTGTCGATGACCCCAATAATGGTATCACTCTCAATGCTAGGGTTTCGCTTCGTCTTGATGCCTTCTTTGAGACCCATAAAGTTCCAAGACGACGTCGTTTGGAGTTTCAGTTTTCTACTTGGGAACACAGACACAACTCCAGCCATTCCTAAGAAAAAACATTGCATAAACATATAGAGATGGAAAAAAGTAAATACGATTTTGCAAGTTTCTTTACACCAAAAAAGGTTTTTTCTTTTCAACTCTTTTAATTTTTCTTTCTACTATAATTCTGTATTCTTTAAAGATTATAATCAGCTAGAAAACTCGATATAATGTATATGAAACTACCTGCTATTTTTTTCCGCTCGGATTCGGTGAGTCGTGCTGCAAACCCGTTGAAACTTCTTTTGTAGCTTCTCACCAAGCGATTTTCGATCAAACTAGGATATTAATATCACTTTTTAAAATTATGATTTTAAAACCATATATGATTATATAATAAGAGAATTTTTTTCTTTTTTAATAAGACCTCTCTCCGGTGACTTCTTGAAGAATACTCATGTGATCGAACATTGGTGTGTAATCTTCTCGAGAAGGAAGTGCTCCCAAGTACACGATATATACCTTCATGGATTATCATCACCATCATTATTATCATGTATGATAGATATATGGATGGGCTCATAGTGAGAAACAAGAGGATTATAATAATATTGTTTCGATAAACAATATTTATTGTAAAACCTGTTGATCTTCATGATCATCCTTGTCGGCGGAGACTGAACTCAGAAACAAGACGAGGAGACTTGAGAAGATGAAGAAGAATGTTGTACCTTTCGCCATTTCGAATGAAGTCGCTCTGTTTTTTTTTCTTTATAAAATTTGGGGGACATGAATATATATATAGAAGTGAGATTATGTCCGGGATTTAATATAGTCAATCAATCCCCTGTAATTGTGTAATGTAGCAAAATCTAGTATTACTATATCTCAATATAAATTAAAATCTATTATTAATATATTATGCTAATAGTGGAATCCCTTATATAGTAGCTGACCCATGGTTAATTAATGTTTATATTATTAGATATGAGATTCGATTTTTGGTTGAGTGAATAAGATTTATTACTGATTAGTGGAGGTAACTTTATTAGAGAATTCCAATGTGCATATAGAATTATTTGTCGTAAATTCGTTTGTTAATGATAAAATTATTAATCGAGAGCATTTGTGTACTGTCTATCGTAAAATTTTGTGGTGCGGTAAATCTGATTATTATATGGAGTGGTATGTGGTCCGTTAGATCTTTGTAGCAGGTCCGATTGGTGACCACAAAAAAACAATATAATTAGAAAATAAAATTAATGAGAAGGAAGAAAAATAGGAAAATGACCAAAACATATAACCAAGAGGAACATAAAAATTGAACAAATGGTTATGCCAAATGGTAGCCAAAATGTTGAATAAAAAATTAGCATAAAGATTATTAAAAAATAATTTATTTAATTTAAAATTAATGTTTTATATAAAGTTAATATAAAAGTATATAATAAATTCAAATATTTTATTAAAATAATATAAAGGGGGATTAGCAAAAATACCCCTTTTCTCATGCCCCTTTTCAAAAATGCCCCTTTTAGATGTCCATTTTCAAAAATGCCCCTTTTTAAATCTGAAATTTTTATAAAGTTTTATTAGGTTTATAAGGTACTTATGGATTGTAACTACTACTTGAAGACTCGATCCAAGTATTTATAAGGTTTTATAAGGTGTTTTTAAAAGTTTTACAAGTTATTTTAAAAGATTTTTAAGGTTTTTCAAAGGTTTTACAAGATATTTTAAAGGTTTTTAAAGGTATTTAAAATGCATTTATAAGGTATTTATAAAGTATTTATAAGATTTTAGATACATAGAAATGTAGTTTGTGTATGTTTTAATAATATTACATACATATTTGGGTAAATCTTATATTTTTAAGAGCATTTTTTATAAGGTTTTAAAAAAGGGGTATTTTTGAAAAGTGGCATTGAAAAAGTGGCATTATTAACAATTTCCCTAATATAAATTCACTATAAAGCATTTATTTATTTATTTAAGTATACCCTAAATACTAATAGTTGACAAAAAAAGTATAAATACTAATTTAAATAAAGTCATAACATTAAGTTTTGATAAGAACATATATATAATGAAAATAAGAAAAATATTTCTTCAAAAGTGGTTACCAGTTGGAACCAATATATTTTCCAGTTTTCTTCTGGACAACAAAGAGTCAAAGGAAAAAAAGAAAATTGAATTTAAATTTAATCAAATAACAAGAAAATCATTCGAGTTAAGCCAATCTAACTTTTTGATTACGTACCCGCGGTTTGTTTATTCAACTTTGTAGATAAATATATATGTTCCTCTAGGTTCTTTGTTTTGGTCTCTTTTTTTTTTTTTTTTTTTTCCTATTCATTCCTTTTATTTTCTAATCATATTGTTCTTTTTCTCGTTCGATATTCAAATGTTTAAACTGTACGTATGAAAATTAATAATGTTATCATTTAAGAAGATACAATTATTTGACTACATGATTTCATATTAGGCTCATACTTATATAGGACAACACCAACATCCCTCGAATGATCCCTCCGAAGCTCTGCAATGGCCTCTAGTAAACAACTTTCTTCTACAAAACACAGTGCAGCCTCTGTTTCCTCCGTATTCACACGGATTGAATTTGAAACGTTTGCAAAGTTCCCCGATGTCAAAACCTATTTATTAATAATCAATATGTACATTAAGAAAAATGATAAAAATATGATTTTAACTGAAGAGTGGAGAGTATAATAATAAGCCAATACCGGGACTGCTAGCGGATGTAGCATGGCAATGAACATAAGATAGGATAAAGAGAAGAGTGAAAATATACACGACTAATTTTGTTTTTATGATAGCCATTTTATGATATTATTTGAACCTTTTTTTCTTCTTTACACTATATATGTAAACAAATATACATAAAGTGTGATTTTGTAGTCAAAGATATATGAAAAGGAAAAAAATCTTCCAATTTCTTTTCTTAGATTTATAGTCAAAAAACTAAATAAAGAAAATGATTTACTTACCTATTACGTTTGAACATTAGATAGTGATTTTTTAACAACTTCAATTTGAAATAGGTTATACAGATTCTAATGGTTTGTAATGTGTAACTGAAATTCTTTTACCAACATGAAAAAGTTAGTTCATACGCCATATGTTTCAAACAAAAATTAAACTAGATTTTTAATTTATATTTTTTATCTACAGTGAACAAAAGAAATTAGTCCACAGCCCCAGTGTATATAACATACCTTTACAAAAAAAATTAGTTCACGTTATAACTAGTGGTATATACCGTATATACAACACATACCTCGGGAAATATTTGTCAGTGAGTGTTTGGTGAACTTAACTGAAGTTTACTAAAACAAGAAACAAGGCAAAGGGACAACAATAATGATATATATTGAATATTACAATGTTTGATGATGACGGTAGAAAGATGTGAACTGAAGCACTTAAGTGCCCTTATCAATATGCATCATCAGTATAAACAACAATAGGGCTTCTCACATTATGTGTGCCATCAGACCATATTAGACTTGCAGATGAAGGCAGTTTTGGGAAGCTATCGCTACCAGTGACAGTCACCGTGAAAGACTTCTTTTCACTCACTGTCTTAAAAGACAGAACGCTAGGCGTGACCTTGACACTGAGCTTTGATCCGTGATTTAAGACCACCTTTGATTTGTATGTTGAGTTGGGCGTTCCAACATTAGTGACAGTTCTGTTGAAACTCACAGTGACGGAGCTTTTAGATCTTGGCAATTGAGCTGACATTGAAGGATAGTTGAGGTTTCTTGGTAAGATTTTGTTTTCTTTAGTGCAAGTAATTGTTTCACCAGATATGAGTTTAAGGGTATCCGCGGTGTAGTTCAAGCCACAGAGAAAAGCAATGTGGTCTGCTTTGTCCATTTCATAGACGAGTCCAGGATTTGTGGCAGCTATTGGATCAACATGGCCAGCTCCATAGGCAAACTCGGTTGATGCAAAGTCAGTTCCAGTAGCATTCATTGGCCAGGCTGTGAATTACGAATAAAAAAGCAAAGATCAATATAAGTCAATTGTTTCTTGCAGGACAAAAAAGCATCTGTTAGGTTTCGCAAGGGTAAAGAATATTGTTTTGGGTGTCTTGCGGGACAAGAAAGTAAGTTTACTCAGTATAAACTGGATAGATTTTTGCTTACCGGTTGTCATGATAGCAGAATGGATCATTGAAGGAGACCATTTAGGATTAAACGTCTTGACGTACGCAGCCACACCAGCAACGTGCGGACAAGACATTGAAGTTCCCGACATAACAGAGAACTTTACATGTCTAGTGTCAAACTCGCTTTCAGTCGGTGTGCTGTCAGGTGAATACGCAGCGAGGATCTCCACTCCTGGTGCTGTTATATCTGGCTGAAAGACATTTACCATTGTCTATATCAGATCGGGCACAAAGAGAACCAAGATCATAAAAGTATTTCTTATATAAATAAACCTTGAGAAGATCCACAGCGATGGTGTTTGGACCACGAGAAGAGAAAGAAGCAACTTTAGGAGATGTCTGATTAAAGATTGCTTCACTTCTTAGAACAGTCGCTTGCGGGAACCTGAGAAAGCAAACATAGAGATAGCGGGAATAATAATTATAAAAAAAAAAGAATTTAGAGCATATATACAGAGTATGAAACAGAGAGATGATTATTTGTTACTTTGTGGAGTTAATGTAAGAGACAAGAGACTCAAACTCATCTTGTGAGAGAGCAGAGAGGGGCAAAGGGCTGACGGAGGCATAGTCTTTTTTAGGATTCACAAGAATGGCTGCAACAGCTCCATTTGATAAAACTTCGTTTATATCAAAGTCTTCCGATTGACGACACAATACGATTTTCCCCTTCACAAGGGATGGATCTAGACACCCCGTCTTACATTCCCTGAAATTCAAATCCCATCACCAACTATAAACTTGAAAGTATTATTTCTAGGTCATTCAAACTAAATATGGTGTTTCTTGGGAAGGAAGGAACTTACTTGGCGGATTCCTCCTCACAAGCAGAGATACCAGCAGATTTACCATACACCAGAGGGTATTTCTTTCCTTTCAGATCAAAAGTATTCACTGATTTCCCCTGTAAAGAACTATCAGTGGAAACTAAAGAGGCAGAGATCACTAACATCGTTGAAATAAAAACATTTCTTGATACTTACGACAAGTGTCTTGCCGTCTCCGAGAACAACTTTGGTGACAAACCCACGGTTTGTGGTACTGGCTGCAACTGTTAAGATCCACGGCGCTACGCACGAGACCACACCAGCTTTTGGACCGTTGTTACCGGCTGAATTCACAGTGAGAATCCCCTTGGCCATAGCGTGGAAAGCCCCGATTGCGATGGGGTCTCTTTCGTACTCCGACGCCTTATCTCCCCCGATAGAGATGGTGATGAGATCCACACCATCGGCGATTGAGTCATCAAACGCAGCCAGTACAGCTGCCGAAGTACATAAATAGTTGCAGACTTTATAAGCGGCTATTCTTGAGGCCGGAACACCACCTCTCACTGTTCCATTACCGAGTCCAAAGAAGCTTATATCAGGGACTACGTTTCCAGCCGCCGTGGACGCGGTGTGTGTACCATGGCCATCATAATCCCTAGTACCTCTTTTTGTGTAGTCCCTTGCCCCGACCAACTTGCTGAAAGATAACAGAGAGATCAATTTCTACCTAGGTCAAAATACACATCAAATATAAACATAAAGGAAAACAAACAATCGAGGGCCAGGAGATATAACTTGTTGCAGGTGAAGTTTGTTCCACCGGCACAAACACCTTTCCATTTCTTAGGAGGAGGACCAAAGCCTTTGTCGGAGAAGCTTTCGGATTCCGGTGTGATCCCACCGTCGATGACTCCAATAATGGTATCACTTTCCATGGTCGGGCTCCTCTTCGTCCGCTTTCCTTCCTTTAAACCCATGAAGTCCCAAGATGTCGTCGTTTGGAGTTTTAAGTTCATGTTCGGGAACACAGACACAACTCCCTCCATTTCTATGTATCAATGGGATCAAGAAGCATAATTTTTTTAATAATAAGTAAAATATCATTTCAATATTGTATTGTTACAGGTCGAAGAACACTCACTGGCTACTCTTTCTCGTTCTGATTCAGTGAGTCGAGCTGCGAACCCGTTGAAACTCCTTTTGTAACTTCTCACCAAGCGATTCTCGATGGAACTAGAATATGTAACAATCGAGGCAGTGTATTATAACAATTTTGACGTCAATTATGATATGATTAGAAGAAAAATCAAATTTAAATTAAATCATACCTCTCGATCTCTCCAGTTACCTCTTGAAGAATATTCATGTGGACAGACATTGGTGTGTAGTCTTCACTAGACGGAAGTGATCCCATGTAGACCACATACACCTTCATGGATTAACACCATCATGATTCATGAATGATGGAATGGATCGATGATCATAACAATATATAAACAACAAATTAAGTATAATAAAATACCTGTTGGTCTTGAGGATCATTTGTGACTCCTAAGATTGAATTCAAGAACAATGCAAAGAGACATGAGAAGAGGCAAGAGGAAATTGCTCGTTTACCCATTTTTCTATAAAACTATGTAAAGTTAATTCTCTAATTTCTATGGAGATCAACATGAAGGATATATATACATATTACATAGTATAGAAATTAAATTATATTAAAAACTAGTATTTGACTATTTGTACAAGTTTAGGATACATATTTACTTCTTTTTTTTTCCTTTCTTGGAAAACATATTTACTTGGACCTCATACAGATTTTCCCCCTTTATTGATATTTTGCAGTAACTTTAGAGAAAATCTGACTATTTTTTTTCAAAAGGAAAAAAAAAAACTGTAGAGAAAATATGGTAAAAAGTAAATAAGAATCAATTTCTTAACACTTATAGTATCTTGTGAACCCTGCAATATAATGGACGTTGATCTGAAGATGCGATTATGATCTTCCTGTATCCAGCTTATATAAAAACTTATTTCAATATAATAACCACTGATCTATATTACTGAGAAATGATACTAGATGCCATTTGATCTCTTTAATTTTGTTTATGATTATCTCTTTCTTCGGCTGATCTTGTAGACATACAAAACAGACATACATAAAAAGATTTCTTTTACGGTCAAACCTTAAAATGGACAGAATCTTCCAATTTATTTCTTTAGATTTAATTTATATACAGTATAGTCAAACGAAAAAATGGAGAGAATTCTTTTCTTTCATAAAGACGTTGAATTATTAGTTACCAACACACCAATTTTGCATTGTTTTGATAGTTAGGAGAAATTGCACCTCCAAAAAAGTAAAAATAATTCTTGTTCATAAACCCCTCTCTAAAGAACCCCAGATTCTTAGTTCAAATATGCAAAGGTTTTTTTATCAATATTTCACTGTTTTGTAAATGAGACAATCAAAATCCCCTAAATTTTCAGATTTCTGGCAGAAACCTTTGCATATTTGAACAAGATATAAATTTTTTTTTAAAAACAAAGCATCTCGATTATCCAATTAGCATATCTCAAGACATCAACATACATATAGGAAGCATAGACATCAAAGAGCAATAATATAACCAAAACATAGAATGAAGAAACATTACAACAAAAATAAAAATTTATTTATGATGACGATGGTGAATTAGTGATGACTCATCAGTAATCACTAGTGTAAATAACAATGGGACTCCTCACGTTATGGGTACCGTCAGACCAGATTAGATTTGCAGACGAAGGGACTTCAGGGTCGAGATTGCTGCCTGTAACAGTGACCATGAAAGATTGCTTCTCGTTCACTGCCTTAAAAGACAGAACACTAGGCATGATCTTGACGTCGAGCTTAGATCCGTGACCCGCCACTACCTTTGATGTGTATGCAGAGTTTGGCGTGCCGACATTAGTCAAGGTTCTGTTGAAAGTTACAGTGAAGCTGGTACCAGATCCCGACAATTTGGCCGACATTGAGGGATAGTTGAGGTTTCTTGGTAGGATTTCTTTTTCCTCGGAGCAAGTGACGGTTTCACCAGAGATGACTTTCAGGACATGCGAAGTGTAGTTCATGCCGCAGAGAAAGGCGATGTGATCTGCTTTGTCTAATTCATAGACAAGTCCAGGGTTTGAAGCGGCTATCGGGTCGACATGTCCAGCTCCATAAGCAAACTCGGTCGATGCGATGCCAGTTCCAGTAGCATTTACAGGCCAAGCTGAAAAGATTGGTTAAGAAACCAAATAAGAACAGAGTGACAACAAAGGTTACTTGTGGTACAAGAAACTAAGTATTGGATATAGTTTTTAGCCTACCGGTTGTCATGATGGCAGACTGAATCATGGAAGGAGACCATTTAGGGTAAAACGTTTTGACATACGCGGCCACCCCTGCAACGTGCGGACAAGACATTGAAGTTCCAGAGAGAACAGAGTACTTCACATGTCTGGTGTCATGTTGAGACGGTTCACCATCAGGTGAATATGCAGCAAGAATCTCCACTCCTGGTGCTGTTATATCTGGCTGCAATTCATCCACCATTGTCTCTTAGACCAAAGATATTATAAGCAGAATCAATATCAAAATTTGTTTTGTATAAGTACCTTGAGAATATCAACAGCGATGGTGTTTGGCCCGCGAGAAGAGAAGGAAGCAATAACAGGAGATGTCCGATTAAAGATTGCTTCAGTTTTTAGAACAGTCGCGTGTGGAGAACTGAGAAAACAAACACATATATTTCAGAATAAAGAAGGAGAAATCTAAAGCTGATGTATAAAGCCATAGAGAAGATGATTGTTAATTTACTCTGCTGATTCAAGGTAAGAGAGGAGAGACTCAAAGTCTTCTGTTAGTAAACCAGCGGCAGGTAAAGGGTGAATGAAAGCGACGTCTGGTTTAGGGGTTTGATAAATGAGTCCTATAGCTCCAACTGATTCAAATATCTTCAAACCACCCGGACCACCACACACTAAGATCTTTCCCTTCACACGGGATTCGTCTAGACACGATAGCTCACAAAGCCTGAAAAGGAATTAATCTCATTATACTAGAAATTTAATTTACCAAAAAAAAGACAAAACAAAATTCTAGGTCACCATTACAATTAAGATTATGTTTCGTAGAAAAGAAGTTACCCTGCACTTTCTGGGTCGCAAGCGGAGGAAGCTGCAGATTTTCCGTACACTAGAGGGTATTCCTTTCCTTTCATATCGTAAGCATTCACTGACTTCCCCTGTTATAGAAAAGGAACAGAGGATTCAATGGTAACTAAAGAGACAAATATTACTATGATCACAGAAATGAGAGTGTTACTTGATACTTACGACAAGTGTCTTGCCATTTCCGAGAACAACTTTGGTGACAAACCCACGGTTAGTGGTACTGGCTGCAACAGTTAAGATCCACGGCGCTACACCCGAGACTGAGATTGGTTTTGGGCCGCTGTTACCGGCGGAATTCACAGTGAGGATCCCTTTGGACATAGCGTGAAAAGCCCCTATCGCAATCGGGTCATTTTCGAACATGGACGCAGTTTTATCCCCGATAGAGATGGTGATGAGGTCTACTCCATCAGCAATCGCGTCATCGAACGCAGACAATAGAGCTTCCGAACTACACCCTGTCGCGGTGCAGACTTTGTAAGCGGCTACTCTAGAGGCTGGAACACCACCTCTTATGGTTCCATTGCCGATTCCAAAGAAGCTTGCGTCCACAACTGCGTTTCCAGCCGCCGTGGACGCAGTGTGTGTACCGTGGCCTTCCGTGTCCCTAGAACCTTCGCTTGTGTAGTCTCTTGCCCCAATCAACTTGCTGAAATATTATAAACAGATCAATAACATTAGCTTTCATTTTTCAAAACTAATGTTAACCTCGACCAACAATACTAATCCTTTTATAGTCAAAAAAAAAAAACAATAATACGAAACAATTCTATTCTTTAAAGAGAGAAATTAACTTAAGAGTAAATTACTTGTTGCATGTGAAATTTTCGCCACCGGAACAAACACCTTTCCATTTCTTAGGAGGAGGACCAAAGCCTTTGTCGGCAAAGCTCTGAGATTCCGGCGTGATCCCACTGTCGATAACTCCAATAATTGTATCACTTTCCACGGTAGGGTTCCTCTTTGTCCTCTTTCCTTCCTTTAACCCCATGAAGTCCCAAGACGTCGTCGTTTGAAGTTGTAACTTCTTATTTGGGAATACAGAAACAACTCCCACCATTTCTAAGAACAACACAAAAGAGTTTAATTATTTAACCTTTAGAATCAATTTCAACATAAGTGTGTCTCGATCGAAGAACACTCACTGGCAACTTTTTCTCGTTCCGACTCACTGAGCCTGGCCGCAAAACCGTTGAAACTCCTCTTGTAACTTCTCACCAAACGACCTTCGATCGAACTAGAAAATATATCACGTATTAAAATCTCCGAAACAATATTATAAAGTTGATTATAAACTAGAGAAATGAATTAATCGAAACACACCTTTCTCCGGTGGCCTCTTGAAGAATACTCATGTGATCGGACGTTGGTGTGTAGTCCGCTCGAGACGAAAGTGAGCCCATGTAGACAATATACACCTTCATGGATCATATATCATAATCATTATCATCATTATATAACGGATGATCACATGGAGAATCAACAGATCATCATAATAAATTAATAACGATATGAATCATCGATGATAACTATACCTGTTTATCATCATCTGTGACTGCTGAAACTGAACTCAAGAACAAAACAAGGAGACATGAGAGGAGGCAAGAGGAAGCTGCTAGTGTCGCCATTTTTTTTTTAATAAAATGAGGAATGTTTAGTGTCTATTATGATGTACATGAAAAGATCTTTATATAGGAGAGATCATACATGCACCGCGTCAAATTAAAAGAATCTAACTCAAGTCCTCTGATTTTGTCTTTAATTGATAGTTTGATACTATAAATTGTTATAAATAAGATCAAATTATATCTTACCCTAATTAATGATATCTGTATCAATTAAATGATAACATTGCTTACAGTTTTAGGATTCATATAATCTATTTACTCACTGTTAATATGAACTCAATTAGTGAAAAGAATAAAGTTTTGGATTAGTTTCTCTTTAATTAGTTTCCGATTTTCTTAGTCAATAAAATAGCAGGAAGAAAATCACAAATATTACAATTGAATTGTGTTCTTTGACCTACAATTGAATTGTTTTTCTTGTTGAATATACCAAACATTAATGACAATAAGATGGAAAAAACGAATATATATTATTTGCCACGTGGTATAATTATATTAGAAGTTAATTTAATAGCAGTTTAATTAGCTGATATGGTGAATGGACGTTACACATCGTTCACATGAAAGTTATATCCAGTCAATGTATTTAGCCTTTTTTAGGGACTAACGATTGCTATTAGTACTAAGGTATATCCAGTTAATGTATTTACCTTGTTTTAAGACTAAATGACTACTTGGGTTGTGGACAATTAATTATAAATAAATTTTCATAATTCAGTTACGTTTTATTTAATTTGTTGACATTATTTTTGATATTTTCCATAATATCACGTTTTTTCCACCACAATAACTTGGCCAGTTTCGACTCCATTTAGTTTTTCTACCAAATAAGATATATTGTTTGATATATTGCACTTTTTATTAACATATGTATGTGTTAAATTCCTCACAAATTGCAGTTTTATAAGCTATACTATCTAACTCTTTGATTATACATTAAGGATATTAATATTTTATAATTTTTTGGATATTAAAAATATTATAATTAGTGTTTAAACTTGCTACTATAAAATAATATAAATATATTAAGATATTTAAACATATTTCCATACACATATATTTCATAAAAGTGTAATATTGGAAATTTTGGAGTATAGAAATAAATCATATGTACATTTATTTTAGACTAAATTACTGCTTTAATAAAGCAACATTAATAAAAATCACACCGGTAATAAATTGAAGATTTTATTACAAACTTGAAAATTCTGTCATCTGATCATCTGAAAATCTATTGGAAGTAAATATGTTTAAAGATTCTCAATAGCAAAAAAAAAAAAAAAAAGTGATATACGTTCATTGTTTGGGTAATTTTTTCGTTTTCAAGAACTAACGAACCATGTGATATGTGTAAGCAGAGTCGTGCCCACCTTTATAAACAAGAAACATTCGTCTACGGCACAGTTTTTTGTTCTTGTTTTTGTTTTTCTGTTTGAGGTCTTATTTTGAAATTGATATTTAAGTATAGTGGTGAACATGTCACAGTTTGACACTTATCAAGTTATATCATACATTTTCGTTCTATCAATAAACTCTTCTTCTTTTTAGTTCCGTGTTTTACCTAATTTCTATATAATTGTAAAACATTTTTTCTCTATATTAATTACTGTATGTATTTGTAAAAGGGATCCATTTCTAAAATTAGATTACTTTCTGTAAAATTGTTTTTTTTTTATATATATATGTTTTTGTTTACAATATTTTTAAAATTGGACCAGATATTTGTGTCGTAAATTTGAAATGTTTTATCGATTGAATATATTATGTATACACTATATATTATGTTTAGAACATATGAAGCATCATATTATATATTTTAACTTAAAAACAATATTTGTTTTTGGGCTTCCAAAGTGCTAGAATTCGCTTTGTGTACATGTAAGCGCGCATGGTTAGGCAGAAGATTTTTCGCCGAAAACTCTTTACCTTAACATGTTCTAAAATGATCATCCCCTATCAATAGACTTTCGAAACAGCATTTTGATTGTTTGTTAGTTTTGGGCCTTCTGGCGACTGGCGTAAGTTCGTTTACTCCACTAAAATCAGCTCGCCGAAAAAGGCGAGAAACTTAATTTACAAATATCAATGAAAATTAACAAAGAGTTGACTAAATCATTCTTTTTTTTTGTCGAGAAGAGTTGACGAAACTATAACTGTAAAGTTTCCCTCTCCATAATATGACATTGTTTTCTTTTTCAGTTCATGACATGTGTTATGCTTTTAAATCAAAGGAAACATGCATATATAGTAAACCTCTTTCTTTTGTGATAAAAAAAACATGCATAAACTATTATTCCAATATAAAAAACTATCATACCCTTTATAAAAAAACAGGAAAAGTTTATTATTTCAATATACAATAATCAAGAGGCCATTATTTCTAACATCTCACCTCATCACAATTCTTATTTCTTACATATTAAAAAAATTAATATGGTAAAACAAGGTATTAGTATTGTGGCTGTCGAGAGATACGAATTGCTAATTCACATTCCTTAATCGCGTCACAACTCTCTAATTTCCAGTCCAATTTTTTGTATATTTATGTCATGATATATTATCTTAATTGTGCTTATAAGCTATTGTAACTTGTAAAATGTGAGTTGTGACAAACAAATTATTTCACACATTCATATGGTATCAGAGTACCTCAAAACCCTTTTTATTTTCTTCCTCCTTCTCCCTTTCATGAGGTGCAAGTCCGTAGCCACTATTGCTTGCGAGGGTCAAGGTGAAATGATAGCGAAGCTGATAATTTCTAGGTTTCATAACGCGGATCAACGTACTTGATGATTCCAAAATCGGGAAAGACAATAAGAAGAACATGTATCCGATGAGATAAAAACACAACAGTTGTATTATCTTATTCAATGTTCTTAGACATTAATACCATAACAGAAATTGAATGATTACAACAACAACAACAATAATGGTTTATGATGACGATGGTGGTGAGAAGTCACCAGTATAAACAACAATGGGGCTTCTCACATTATGAGTTCCATCAGACCAAATTAGATTTGCAGACGAAGGCAGTTCTGAATGGAGCTCGCTTCCCGAAACTGTCACCGTGAAAGACTGCTTCTCGTTCATCGAATTCATATATAGAACACTAGGTGAGACCTTGACGTTGAGCTTAGATCCGTGATTTAAGACCACTTTTGATTTGTATGTAGAGTTTGGGGTACCGACGTTGGTGACGATTCTTTTGAAAGTGACGGTGAAGGAGTTATTAGATCCCGATAATTTAGCCGACATCGATGGATAGTTGAGGTTTCTAGGTAAGATTTTTTCACTGCAAGTGACGGCTGCACCGGAGATGAGTTTCACGGTAGTGGCATTGTACTTCATGCCACAGAGGAAGGCAATGTAGTCTGTTTTGGTTATCTCATAGACGAGTCCAGGATTAGTAGCAGCTATTGGGTCTACATGACCAGCTCCATAAGCAAACTCGGTTGATGCATAGCCAGATTGAGAAGCATTCATCGACCAAGCTGTGAGATATTAAGAAAACCAAAGAAGAACAGAGCATGAACAAAAGTTGATGGTTTTCTTGCGAGACAAGAAAGTATGTTTTATTACTGAAAATATAATTTTTTTTCTTTACCTGTTGTCATAATAGCAGATTTGATCATGGAAGGGGACCATTTAGGATGAAACGTCTTGATGTAGGCGGCTATGCCTGCAACGTGTGGACAAGACATTGAAGTTCCGGATTCAACAGAGTATTTCACATAAGTGGTGTCATAAAACGGTGATGCCTTAGGTGAATTTGCAGCCAAAATTTCCAGTCCTGGTGCTGTTACATCCGGCTGCATTTTCATTCACCACTTTCTCAGATCGAAAAAATGAGAGATCATTCTAAGCATAACCAATACATATCATATAATACCTTGAGAATATCAGCAACGATGATGTTTGGACCGCGAGAAGAGAAGGAAAGAACTTTAGGAGCTGTCTTATAAAAGACTGCCTCACTTTTTAGAACAGCCGCTTCTGGGGACCTAAAGATTCAATCCCAAGAAAAATGAGAATAAAGAGAAACATATACACAACAAAGTGTATGATTCAACAGAGAGGATATGACTGTTTACTTTGCGGACTTAATGTAAGAGAGGAAAGACTCAAATTCATCTTCTTGTAAGCCAGATACAGGTAAACCGTTGATTTGGGCCCAGTCTAAATCATCTTCAAAAATGGCTGCAACAGCTCCCTTTTTATAGGCTACGTAGGGAAGAAATCTATTGCACACCAAGATCTTTCCCTTCACCAGGGATGCGTCAAGACAATCTGGCGTGCAATCCCTGAAAATAATTAAATAGAAAAAATCTCATCATCACTAATCAGAAATATAAAAGTATTTCTAGGTCATACGCTTTACACATGGTGTTTCTTGTGTAGGAAGTTACTCGGCGCATTTCGCTTGGGATGGAGACGAAGCAGCAGATTTTCCGTACACCAGAGGGAACTTCTTTCCTTTTAGATCAAAACCATTCACTGATTTTCCCTATTAGGAAAAAAACAGAAGAGTCATTGTTATTTCAAAAAACAAATTAAAAGATACTATGATAACAGAAAGTGAGAGTGTTCCTTGATACGTACGACAAGTGTCTTTCCGTCACCGAGAACCACTTTGCTGACAAACTCACGGTTCGCGGTGCTGGCTGCAACAGTTAACATCCACGGTGCTAAGCTGGTGATTGAGGCCGTATCCGGACCAGTGTTACCAGCAGCGTTCACAGTGAGGATCCCTTTGGACATAGCGTGAAAAGCTCCAATTGCGATCGGGTCTTTCTCAAACGGGTACACACTAATATCACCTATAGAGATGGTGATGATGTCAACACCATCGGCAATGGCGTCATCGAACGCAGATAGTATTGCATCATCTCTACATTCCCCGGCGCAAACTCTGTAAGCAGCGATTCTAGAGGCTGGAACGGCACCTCTCACCGTTCCATTACCGATCCCAAAGAAGCTGGTATTCGCGACTGCGTTTCCAGCCGCAATAGACGCGGTGTGTGTACCGTGGCCACTAGAGTCCCTAGCATCTCCTGGTGAGTAGTGTCTTGCCCCAATCAGCTTGCTGTAAAAATGACTAACATATATCAATATCTGCCCCCAAAAAATAAGCAAGACTTTTCATTCAACCCCTGAAGTCTAAGCCATGACTCACGTAGAGTCTTACCTAGACTATACGTAAGCTTGTGACAAAAAAAATTAAAAATATTTTCATGTTGTCTCATAGGATATATATGTTTTCCTTTCATTTGCAATTGGCATCTACGATTAACAACTTCGCTTAAAATGTTTAGAGCTCATTGGAAACATGTGAACTATATAAAAACCTTATGTAAACGCACACAACGAAGTTTTGATCAACTTCTAACATCTATAGAGTTTAAAGAGAGGAATAAAATATGATATACTTATTGCAGGTGAAGTTCTTGCCGCCGGCACAAATGCCCTTCCATTTCTTTGGAGGAGGACCAAAGCCTTTGTCGGAAAAGCTTTCGGATTCCGGCCAGATTCCACCGTCGAAGACTCCAATAATTGTATCACTCTCCACGGACGGATTCCGCTTCGTACCTTTACCTTCCTTTAGTCCCATGAAGTCCCAAGACGCCGTCGTTTGGAGTTTTAATTTCTTGTTCGGAAACACAGACACAACTCCCTCCATATCTAACAATAGCAGGAAGGGTTTTAGGCTTGAATGAATCAATTGTTTTGTTCACGTTTACATTTAAAATTTTTTTTAAAAAAAAAGGATATTCACTTTTTCATAAAATAGTTTTGCAAGATGCAAATGCAAAGACTTGCTTCCGTTTGTGTATGACAAAACTATAAGAGTAGTTGAAGAACAAATCATTTGAGTGTATCATTAAAGACTATATAGGTCTCGAAGAACACTCACCAGCTAATCGTTCTCGTTCTGACTCAGTGAGCCTGGCAGCAAAACCGTTAAAACTCCTCTTGTAACTTCTCATTAAACGACCTTCAATCGAACTAAAGTAATTTATATATGTCATTGTTAGGAATCCTCATAATTTAAAGCAATAATGATTAGATAATGAAATAATCAAATCACACCTCTCTTTGGCAACCTCTTGAAGAATACTCATGTGATGCGACATTGGTGTGTAGTCCGCTCTAGAAGGAAGTGAACCCATGTAGACGATATACACCTTAATTTAACGACAATCAACATAATCATCATGTATAATGAATGAGCATGTATAGCTAGAAACAAGAGATTTTGATCATTGAGATAATAAAATACCTGTTTATCTTGATGATCATGTGTGACTACTGCTAAGACTGACTTCAAGAACAACAAGACAAGGAGACATGAGAGGAGGCTAGAGAAAGCTCCTCGTTTCGCCATCTATAGAATTGGTTAAAGTTGGTTTATAATTTCTATGGATATCAAGATGAAAGGATGTTTATATGGACCAAGTAAAGAAAAGAATCTAATTTCTGTTTCTACGCTTAATGTTTTGTCTTTTCCCCCAAACGGTTGTCCAATTTCGTTGTTATTAATTAATTTAACATTCCAAGAAATTATAATTTGTTTTCATGTACTCATAATCAGACAAGATACAAATTTGTACTACGGGATAATTTTCCTTTGTCGATATGGGGGTATTTCATCATATTTATGGAATCTCTAACGATAGTAACATGTTGCGAGTTCCAATAAAAAAGTCTCAAACAAAAAAAAAAAACAACCCGAAACGGAAGTGTGACTAAAGTAAGGATTGATGTTTGTGGATGGGAAGGGTCGTAAGGAGTGGTCCAATAATTTGGGACCAAAACGTACTTACGACTTTTGGAGCAATTTGGAGGCAGAAGCAAAAGCAACAGCTTCGTCTTGGATAATGTGCCTAGACAATCTTGGTTTTGAGAATGTGATGATATTTGAAAGTGATGCAAGTGTTCTGATTCGGGCAGTTATTGATTAGGCAAGCCTGGCCCAGTCTGCAGAGCTTTACACGAGACATTGTAGGCAAGGGCAAAAGACATTTTCGACCCTCGTTTTTTGTTTTGTATGCAGAAGACAACGAACTTCTCTTTGATGTATTATGCCGTTTTAGATAACTGTATTCCCAATTTGCTTCCACCAATTATGGAGATAAATAGTCGCACAATTGGTATTCTGTCTACTATCAAACGATACGAAACATAATCGATTGATGCAAAAAGTAGAGTAAATTTCAAGTGATTTGGCACGAAACCAATCATTATTAGGACAGAATGTTTGTTACTTATTACAAAGCTTTACTAAGCTGTTTAAATATAAATAACTAGTAACGCCACAAGAACTTTGATGTTGCAGTTAAAACTAACAACTAGTAAAGAAGTACATGACTTTCTCTCGGAGCTATTCAATAGTTCTTCATGAACCCAATGCAGATTTTTGTCACACAAGTGCTCCAAGGAGTTACACCTATACTAGTCGAATAAGATTCAACAGCGTTATCCTTTTAATTCTTCAAGTGTGAAGATAGTTAGCAGCCATCATCAGCTCTAAAGTCAGTTCAGGCTCGATGTGGAACTCAGTCTCCTTGCCTCTGTCCAAAGGTGGAACATTTGCATATCAGTAGTTAGAGAGTAGACAACTATAAACACAGAGAAAGATAGGGGTAGAGGAGCGGTAAAAGAGGAATCCGATCCTAGAAAACAGAACACTTTCAATACATTGGTTCATAGAGATGAACTAATGAGACTAAAAGCAGGATGGTGAACAATTTTCCTTTCCCTGATACTACATAATAATTAAAACTTTTCATTCTTATCGAGTGAGCCACTAAAGTGAAACTTAGTAACTACAAACGGCGATGCGATTCTGAAAATGTTTAAGAAAACTAATAGAGACTACGATGCCATGTTCTAGAGATCAAAGTAGAGAAAGAGGTGAAACGTGAGTTAGGAGATAATGGAACCTGGAGTACTGAAGAGACCAGTAGAAGTACTGGCAGATCTTCTCTAGTATTGTGGTGCTGATATCAGGGAAAGTCACTACGCCATCTTTCGATTCCGAGAAACCACCTTCAATAAAAGAAAACAACAGAATTTCTTCTTCAAATCTCAATAAATTCAACATCTACCATGATCTAATGATATTGGAGTAGCTTCCTCATTGAAATTGGGAGATTCAAATTACGTAACTGAATTTCCGATTGAGTATAATATCTCGCTAGATTTCTCTCAAATTGAGGTCAATTCACAACAAATCAGATTAATTTAACAGAATCCATCAAAATCAAGTAAGATCAGAATTGGGATTACGATCACCAACCCTACGACCAAAGAGGAGAAGAAACCTGGAGAAGTGAGCATGCTTCGGATAGTCTGAGAAACCATGGCGGCTTCTCTGTCGATCACGAACTCGAATCCTTCCATGCTTATCAACTTCACCGTCTCTCTCATCTTCTTCGTCGTCGTCGTCTCTGTTTCTCTCTACCGCGGCGTGGTTTCTTAACTCGCAGAGACCGACTCAGTTGTTGGTTGATCCCAAACTATTATGGGCTCAATTCCAAATGAGGCCCATTGTGAATTATGATGTCAATATAATATTGTTATTGGCCCACTAAAATCACACTCTATTTCAGCCTTTTAGCTGCAATTTATTTCAATCTTTTTGATACAAAAATTATAGGGGTGCAAAACAAATACTCCATGTAAATATTAAACATCTAACCAAACTTTTAATAAGTCAGGGGAAAACAAAGTAATCTAATAGACTTGTAAATTAAATGAAACCTTTTAAACTATTTTAGATTGCTTTATTTAATGAGCTTGTAAAATTCTACAAATTTTGACATTTTCGAAGTTGTAGAAAACAAACTTTAAAATGAAGGAAACATTGTAACATTTATCAAAACTATAACCAGAAGTTTAAGGGTTGGTGAAAGATGTGATTCACCTAGGAATCATACATAATCTCTTTACAAGCAAAACGAGAGATTATATGTATTTACTTCTTCTTCTTTTTTTTTTCATCATGTATTTACTTTTTTCTATAATCCCAATCAGTAATCCAGGTTCGAATACCGAAACCATAGTCCAAATGAAAATACACCACTAATCTTTTTCAATCTTATCACCAAAAAAAGTGACGTAGAAATCTTTAGTCTACTACTATATAATTATCGAATGATCAATCAACAACAGAGAACAGACCATCACCAACACATGACAGAATGTAAATTAATTAATGACGTGGCTCTTATTAATTGGCTGGTTACAATGTTAACATAAGTCATTACCGTATCCGATAATAACTTTTAAGTCACAAATCCCATAAATACCCTTGAAACATCCTCTTGCTTTTTGTCAGCTGCCTACCATTGAATCATTTATCTGCCACCTCAGCCCCCACTTTTGTCATTTTATTTAAATACGGCGTCGTTTATTTTCCGTATCAACTTAAAAAAGCCAGTTTTACAAATTACACGACCATCATACGTATAAACGTATTTTATAAAGTAAGAACATTTATAACACAAAGCCCCAATCACAATTAAACAGTTCCTCAATTGCCTGAAAAAATTTCATAATCAAAAGAGTGTTCCTTCAAGAAAAAAAGTTTCATTCTTTCAACAGATCTGAAGAGGGTAAACTGAAATTCGATTTCATCCGCCATTTTTTCAGGCGAAATAAACAAAGGTATGTTCTTTTGGGCTCGGGTTGATTTTCGTTGGATCTGTCGACTTTAAGAAGATCGCTTGTTGATTTCTGGCGATATTTGTGTTTTATAGGTGAGATCAAAGAGTAAAAATGGCGCATAGGGTAGAACAGGATTACGATTATTTGTTTAAGATCGTGTTGATTGGTGATTCTGGTGTTGGGAAATCAAACATCTTGTCTAGGTTCACAAGGAATGAGTTTTGTTTGGAATCTAAGTCCACTATTGGTGTTGAATTCGCCACCAGAACTCTTCAGGTCATTTCTAATTTCCCTTTTCTGTTTCCTTTAATTTGGGAGAAAGAGCACAAAGGATAATTTTAAATTCACAAGTGGTAGTATCAGTATCAGAGAAATTTGAACTAGTATCTTGTTTATGATCATGCCATGTGTCAATTTCAAGCTCTTTCTTCATTTTTTCACGTGATCTCTATGTGGTTTTATATGTTAGGTTTTGAGATTTGTTCCTTCTGGTTTGCTAGCTGCTTCAAGGTCTCATCTTTAGGTCAATGGTAGTTCATTTGATGCAGTTGCATCCTTTACCTATCCTTTTTGGTCAGTCTAAGGAACTTGCTTATGTTAGGTAACATATAAGTGAAAAGGTCCTGTGGTTTCTTGAGCATTGAATAATTTTAACTTTTGATACTATTCCGTGCATTGTTGTTCTCTCATCTTTTTGAATTTGGTTTTTTATTGCTTAGAGATTTTATTATCAAGAGAGAATCTTAGAATGTGCTGGCCATGAGTCATGAGCAAATGTTTTAGTATAGATGGTGGAGAAAGCCAATGGACAAAAAGCTTCCCACAACTTGTCCCTAATAATGAATTTTTTTCCTTATCATTAAAGTCAACTCTCCATCCCTCGAGAAGTCAACGCATGAAAACATTAACATAATCAGCTGATGTATGAAAATTGTTGATGGCTTAACTAATGTTTTTAATTGTTGAGACATTTAAAACCTTGAAACAAGACGAATAACTATCTCTGATGCACGGAGATGCTATATGAGATCTTACCAGTTTTTGATTGTTGTTCGTTTTTGTGGTGATTGTTTTATGGTTATACAGGTTGAAGGAAAGACTGTTAAGGCCCAGATCTGGGACACTGCAGGTCAAGAGCGGTACAGAGCTATCACAAGCGCTTATTACAGAGGTGCTGTAGGTGCACTTCTTGTCTATGACATTACCAAAAGACAAACCTTTGACAATGTCCTGAGGTGGCTACGGGAACTAAGAGACCATGCGGATTCCAACATAGTGATCATGATGGCTGGCAACAAAGCTGATCTAAACCACTTGAGATCAGTTGCTGAGGAAGATGGACAGACTCTAGCTGAGACAGAAGGTCTCTCTTTCTTGGAGACATCTGCTCTTGAAGCCACCAATGTTGAGAAAGCATTTCAAACTGTGTTAGCAGAGATTTACCACATCATCAGCAAAAAAGCTTTGGCTGCTCAAGAAGCAGCAGCTGCTAATTCTGCGATTCCGGGGCAAGGAACAACGATTAACGTTGATGACACATCTGGAGCTGGCAAAAGAGGTTGCTGCTCTACTTAATTGAAAGTTTAAACTTTCGTTTTCTATTGCTTATTCTGTGTCTTTTTTCTCTTCAAGTTTTGGCTGATGAAATGTAACAACGATGCAAGACCATGTAGAATATATTTCTTCATTTACTCGTCTTACCTTCTTCGATGGGTTTGTGTTAAGAAGAAAAAAGCTTGTTCTCTTGAATTCGTATGTTCCGGTTAGTTCTCGCTAATAATAATAAGTAAACAACTGGTCTTTCTTTTTTCAACTCCGGTTTAGTCTTAACGAAAACTCACGGTTTTGTGGAAATAGAAAACAAAGACAAAAGTTTTCATTTTTCCAATTGTTTAATGAAGGTTTATTTGATCATGATGTTGGAGGCAAAGAGGAAAATGTTTTTCTTTTTTTAGAGAGAAAAATGTTGGTCTAGTTTTAGCTAAAGTGTTGGTTTAACCAAAGCCTGACATCTTAATTCTTATGGAAGGCTAATGATCTTAAGACGGATATAAGATTCAAACACGAAGCTTATCCACTTTTTTCAAATTTAGAACAACACATTTGTTTATCTTGATGATGATTTAACTTCTTCTGATATTGAAGACAATAACATCTTAGATGTCACTTCTTATAGCATAAAATAACTACGGAAAATATAGAATAGACCGATTCCAATTTTAAAAGATTTCTAGGTAAGTCTTAGGATCATGAAAAAAAATTCAAAATAGTCGAGAACAAAGCTTTCTAGGTATAGACCGATCCAATTTGAAAGGTTTCAAGGTATGCCTTAGGATCATGAAAACAATTTCAAAATAGTCGAGAGCAAAGCTTTATAAGTTTGGTCTTGTTTAAGTCGAATGAGAATTTCTTTTGATACTCTTATTCGAAGATATAGGTTAATATCCAATGAAAATTAATTGAAAAAATCTCCAATTTAGAGTAAACTTATATTCATTTTATTCAATTATTATAAGAAAATGAGGATGAATTGGCAGAGAAAATTTGGTCATAATGAATCACTATATATTTGAAAAACAATTCTTTAAAGATCACTAAAATAATCAAAAGTGATGTGCTAATATAGTGGGGACAAGCAAATCCATCCGAAATGCAAGAACACGGACAGAGATGATTATAACATTATATGCAAAGAGAGTTGCATTAACCTATTATTATTATTCGACTATTTTATTTTCAAAATAAATAATAAAATAAAATAACCAAAGTGAGAGAAAAAAAAAAAACCACTAACCTTCGATAAACTCACCCATCACAGAAATTCGTTGGAAAGAAAAAATAAATAAAAATTGGGGAAAACAAAGGCGAAAACTTTTTTGGTCCAAAGATCGAGAGAGAAGATTTTGAAATTTGTTGTATAAGTTTTTCAATTATTTGTCCGAAAGATTGAAACTTTTTGTAAGATAATTGCGTTGTGGTTGGATCGTGGTGGTTTGGAATGGCGCAACAAGGGCAGGGAAGCATGGACCCTGCCGTTCTCGATGATATCATTCGTCGTTTGTTGGATTACAGAAACCCTAAGCCTGGTACCAAGCAGGTTATGCTCACCGAGTCTGAGATCCGACAGCTTTGCATCGTCTCTAGAGAGATTTTCCTTCAACAGCCTAACCTCCTTGAGCTCGAAGCTCCTATCAAGATCTGCGGTAAATTTATTCTCTTTTCCCGATTTCTGATTTATGGCTTGTTTTTGGGATCTGAGGTCTTTTGTGATTGACTTTGTTTGCTTCGTTTAGATCAGCTCTCCAAAAAGATAGTTTTTTTTTTTTTTGGTATGGTTCCTCTGTTGAGTAGGTTTGAATTGGTTTTAGGCAGCGATGTTTTTGTTTGGTCAAGTTGGTGTGGATTAGCTAAGAGATGATAGAGATGTTTAATCCATCATCTGATTGCAGCAGCTGATCTCGAATCAAAGAGACAAGTTAATGGACACATAAAGATCCTTGGGTGAGACCTCGTGGAAAAAGGTTTAAATCACCTTTTTAGCTGAATATATTTCTTAGCGATTGAGGTTTGTAACCTAGGATGGATTTGTTTGTTTTTAGGAGGTTTAGAAATTTATCTGTTTTGTGTGTTTGATTTGTCTGTTAGATTCATCACATGGATTTGTAATGGTTTTGTTTGGTTTTTCAGGTGATATTCATGGACAATACTCTGATCTATTGAGGCTGTTTGAGTATGGAGGCTTCCCACCTACAGCTAACTATTTATTCTTAGGAGATTACGTCGACCGCGGCAAGCAGAGTTTGGAGACTATTTGTCTTCTGCTTGCCTACAAAATCAAATACCCCGAGAACTTTTTTCTTCTTAGAGGAAACCACGAATGTGCTTCTATTAACAGAATCTATGGATTCTATGATGAATGTAAACGTCGATTCAGTGTGAGACTCTGGAAAGTGTTTACAGATTCTTTTAACTGTCTCCCCGTCGCTGCTGTTATAGACGATAAGATATTATGTATGCACGGTGGGCTTTCTCCCGATTTGACCAATGTGGAACAGATTAAGAACATTAAGCGACCTACCGATGTTCCAGACTCTGGTTTGCTCTGTGATCTGCTTTGGTCTGATCCAAGCAAAGATGTCAAAGGTTGGGGGATGAATGACCGTGGAGTCTCTTACACGTTTGGGCCTGACAAAGTCGCCGAATTTCTAATAAAAAATGATATGGATCTAATCTGCCGTGCCCATCAGGTTCGTTTACACACTGTTTATTGTTCTAGTTACTAATAATGTCACGGAATTTTAATTAAAAAACTGTTGTGTTTTTCTTTTTCCCGAAGGTTGTAGAGGATGGGTATGAGTTTTTCGCCGATAGACAGCTTGTTACAATATTTTCTGCTCCCAACTACTGCGGTGAATTTGACAATGCTGGTGCTATGATGAGTGTTGATGAAAGTTTAATGTGCTCTTTCCAAATTCTTAAGCCTGCTGATCGAAGGCCCCGGTTCTTATGAAGTAAAGAGGTAGTTCAAGTCTTATATACTAACTTATGATGAGTGTTTCAATTCCTGTTTCAGTCTTTCAGATTTTCAGATTGCAATAATAGTTCATCTGAAATAACCGATATGCATTTCTTCTCATATGACTTAAGACTTCGACATTAGTTCATCTTTTGCATACAGAAAATTGATTGATTAAAACAGAAGTAGTTGCGTTTTGTGTGCTAAAGTTTTGAAATTTGTGAATATGAGCTCAGATCTTGGATCTCAGATTCACTCACTTATAGAAAACTTCGTTCATTTTTGCATGTTGCAGTTAAAACCTCGCGGGAAAGAAGAGGAAAAAGGCGATACGAAAGCGGGAGAGACATTTGAAGCTCCCTGAGACTTTGTCCGGAGGCCTTGCAAAGGCAAAAAAAAACATAATTTACTTGTTATATCATCTTATTTGAACTCTTGCCGTTTCTTTTCTCACAACACTTTATGTTCTTATGATCTTCTTCTTCTCTGACTCTATATAGACAGTAAAAAAAAGTCTGCAAATTTTCATTCTTTTTCAACAATCAATTTCCTCGGTGTACATACTATATAATTATGTATCCACACACACATACACTCGGGGGAATCTTCGGTTTCATGGATTCTTCACTCAATCAAAGCCTCTTTAAAAACAGATCCCTTTCTTAGTTGTGGTCGTCGCTGCAAATTACTTGACAAATGGAGAGATTCAAAAGCGAATACAAGTTGACTAAAAGGTCAAAGCCCTGGTTCCATATGAAACTGTCAAACTTTGGACGTGCATGGATCTAAATGCCTGTCACTTTGCTTTCCTGGATTTAGGGTTTTAAAACCAGCTGTGAGGTTTGATGCAATGTGGCAATGTCACTGCAATGTGTAGTGTAGAGTCTTGAGTCCTCTGTTCATTTTAAAACCCGTTTTTTAACTTGCTATTCACAACAACAACAAGAAGAAAAATGAAGTCTTTTGTAGCTACTTTTGCTCTCGCAGTGTTGGTAACACAAGGAAGCATTTTTAGTTTGTGTTTGGCCTCTTCTGCTTCTACAAACTCTGTTTCTAATTGGTTTCATCATTGGCCGCCGTTTAAATGGCGACCAAAATTTCCATATTCTCCACCTACACCGCCACCAACTAAGTATCTTCCACCAAAACAATATCCACCGCCGATCAAGAAGTACCCTCCGCCAGAACAATATCCACCGCCGATCAAGAAGTATCCTCCGCCAGAACAATATCCACCGCCGATCAAGAAGTATCCTCCGCCAGAACAATATCCACCGCCCATCAAGAAGTATCCACCGCCACCGTACGAGCCTTACCCTCATCCACCGGTGAAGTATCCACCGCCGATCAAAACTTACCCTCATCCGCCGGTGAAGTATCCTCCGCCAATCGAGAAGTATCCTCCCCCAGAACAGTATCCACCGCCGATCAAGAAATATCCACCGCCGACTTACCCTCATCCACCGGTAAAGTATCCTCCGCCGATCGAGGAGTATCCTCCGCCTAAACAGTATCCACCGCCGCCGTACGAGACTTACCCTCATCCACCGGTGAAGTTTCCACCGCCAATCAAAACTTACCCTCATCCGCCGGTGAAGTATCCACCACCTCCGTACAAGACTTACCCTCATCCGCCTATCAAGACGTATCCTCCTCCAAAGGAATGTCCTCCTCCGCCGGTACATTACCCTTTTCCCCCGATCAAGAAATATCCTCCACCGGTTGTGTATCCGCCACCATATAAGAAGTATCCACCGCCGTCATATCACTTAACACCTCCACCTTACGGCGGATATCCTCCGGCTGATCCATAGTTACTCAGAACCAAACAAGGACGTGTTCGTGACTTCGTGTATGAGTATCTGTCTTAGTTAAAAACTGTTCTGTTCTTTCTGTTACGTTCTTTAATGCATCAAATAAAGAATAAACTGTTCTGTTTCTTGAAGAATATGATTTCATTACAACAACAAGATTAAGAATTAAATACGCATCAAATCTCATTATTTAGTTCTGAATTTGTTAAGTGCGTTAAATACAAAACTAGATCATCACCCGTACTTTAGTACGGGTTGAATTTTATATATTACAAAATTTATATAATATATATATATATATATTAGAACTAAGTTTTAATATATTATAATAGTAAGTGAAAAAATATTAATTTTTTTGTAAGTCCCTATATACAATATTAGAATAAATATAGAATTTTTTCTATAATACTAAATTATGGATAATTTTTTTTTAAGATATGAAAACGGAAAATAATTTTATTTTTTAAAAAGTAATATTTTTTGAACAATGAGTTAATTTATGTTAACAACCACAAAATAGGATTGCATATATTTCAGTTAGATCAAAAATTAAAATATCATAAATGAATCGCATATTAAACATAGATTATTTTGAATTAATTAAGAAAATTAGCTATTATTTTGAATTAATTTAGAAAATTCTTTTTCAATTTATAATTCTTTGGTTGTTGAAATAAAGATTTGTTTGAGCTAATCTAATTAGAGAATTTGTTTGAGATTTATAATTACAGAATTTACCAATCATTCGCATAATCGAATATGTTATAAACATATATTTAGTATATAATAATACCAAAATCAACCCGTGTGTGGAGTCTATATTTTTATTTTAAAATCTCAATATTTCATTTTAAAATATTGCGTGCAAAATCTATTATTCGTTAATTCTAAAATTGTTTGCGGAATCAAATTTTCAAATATTTAGAGGTGTCAAACCATATTTAAATGTTCTACACTATTTTTAAATATTCCAAATTAAAATCTTTAATTTTTTTTGTAGTTTATAAAATTATGAATTTCAAAAAACAAATTATATGAAATTAAATATAACTATTCAAATAGTTATAAGGATAAAAACTCATTTCATCATATAATATATTATATTTAACCCGCTACCTATTATAAATATTTTTAAAAATAATCAAATTAGAGTATTTATAACTTTTAACTTTTTGAACTATTAAGTATTGATGATATTCTCTAAAAATATCAAGTAAAACTTATTTTAAATGTTGCAAATTAAAATATTTAATTTTTTATTGAAGTATATAAAATTATACATTTCAAAAAATAAATGTATGAAATCGAATATAAATATTCAAATTCTGACCCGTTGCTCAGTCGAAATTTTTGTTGAATTTATTTTTGTGTAAAAGAAATATATTACTCAAGTCTGAATTTTTGACCCGTTTAATTGTTTTCTTTATAGATTGAACAATTTATATGCGTTTTTAAAAATTCAAATCTTGGCATATGCAGAAAAAAAATTACTTTTTTTTTATTATATAGATGATATGATGATTTATTTGTTTCATGTAAATATAATCATATAAAGATGAGAGGTGAAGTTTAATGATTAATAACAAATTAATATGGTAAGTTAGATATCAAATCTTATATATTCATTTTGATTGGTCATTTTAAAAAAATTAATAACAGATTTTCGTTTTATAATTTAATTAAATTAATTAAATGACATAAATTAGTATTTTATTAGTATTTTACTTGTTTATCCTTAAGAAATTGAATAAATTTGTTCTAAAAGAAGAAATTTGTAGAGAAATTGTTAAAAATGCCCCTTTTTCAATACCCCTTTTCAAAAATGCCCCCTTTGAGAGTCCATTTTTAAGTTTGCCCTCTTTTAATTTTTAATGACCATTTTACCCTTATTTGAAACAAAATTATGTCCTTAAAATACAAAATATTTTTTGGCGGGAAAAGTGATCCCGCAATTTTCCCGCCAAAACACTTGTAAAAAACCTTTAAAATACCTTGTAAAATTTTCCCGTAAAATTTTTCCCGCCAAAAAATTTTCTCGCCAAAAAATATTTTTTGCGGGAAAAGTGATTCCGCAATTTTTTTTTTGGCGGGAAAATTTTTGGCGGGAAAAATTTACAAGGTATTTTAAAGGTTTTTTACAAGTGTTTTGTAAGGTTTTACAATGTATTTTAAAAGGTTTTACAAGGTACTTATTAGGTTTTATAAGGTATTTATAACTTGTAAAACCTTATAAAAAACTTGTAAAACCTTATAACTTGTAAAAACCTTATAAAATAGCTTGTAAAATCTTATAATATCTTGTAAATACGTTGTAAAACCTTTTAAAATACATTGTAAAACCTTATAAATACCTTGTAAAAAACCTTTAAAATACCTTGTAAATTTTTGGCGGGAAAATCTTTCCCGCCAAAAATTTAACGCCAAAAAAATTGCGGAATCACTTTTCCCGCAAAAAAATTTTTTTGGCGGGAAAATTTTTTGGCGGGAAAAATTTTACGGGAAAATTTTACAAGGTATTTTAAAGGTTTTTTACAAGGTTTTACAAGTGTTTTGGCGGGAAAAATTGCGGGATCAATTTTCCCGCCAAAAAATATTTTGTATTTTGTAGACCTAATTTTGTTATATTTCCTTATATATTTGTGATATATTTTATTAAAAGAAGGGTAATTTAGTCATTTTGTACATAAAAAGGGGTATTTTTAAAAATAGACAGCCAAAGGGGGCATTTTTGAAAAGGGGTATTGAAAAAGGGGCATTTTTGTGAGTCTCCCAAATTTGTAATGGCATTCTCATGTAATTTTTTACAAAAGAGAAGGTTAGTTAAGGGTTTCTTATAAAGTGTACTCCCCAAATAATAGTATAGGATGTTCATTTTGATTGGTCATTTTTTAAAAAATAATAATAACTGATTTTCGTTTTATAATTTAATTAAATTAATTAAATGACATAAATTAGTATTTTACATGTTTATCCTTAATAAATTGAATGAAATTTGTTCTAAAAGAAAATTTTTGTAATGACATTCTTAAGTAAATTCTTAGGGAAGGTTAGTTAAGGGCATCTTATAAAGTGTACTCCCCAAATAATAGTATAGGATTAAAACGTACATTAAATGGTCAAGAAAAGAAAAGTGTTAGGAAAAAAGGAAAACAATTTAACAAAAAAAAAGGAAAACTTATCAAGCAATCTGGGCCGTTCCGATTTGTCGAGATCCGACGGTTTACAGGAAACTACCATGGGCAGGTTTTATAACCAGAGCGAATTGGAACTCAAAACTAAATTGCTCAATAAGACACATTAACAAGCCTCAGAGACAGAGAGAGTCAGAGAGCAAGAGAGAGAGAGAGAAGTCGAGATGTTCTTCCACATAGTATTGGAGCGGAACATGCAGTTGCATCCTCGTTTCTTTGGTCGAAACCTTCGTGAAAACCTCGTATCTAAGCTCATGAAAGATGTCGAAGGCACTTGCAGGTTTCTTCTTCTCTATTCACTTAATCGTATAGAAAATCAACAATTTGTGATGCTTTAATCGGAAACCCTTTTCCTCAATCCTCAATTCGGATTCGTTTTCCATACACACCTTTTAAAAAATTGCATCTTTTTTCGAAACCCTAAGCTCTGTTTATTTCAATTGGTTAGGTTTTGGGGATTAGAGTGAATTCAATTCGAAAAAGATCGTTCTTTTAGCTAAATTTGGAGTCTTTCTCTGCTGCTTCTGACTAAAGTCTGATTTTTTAGCAGAATTTGTATCTTAAGGGATTTGTTTTGAAGCCTTTAGCTTTCTTAGGATTAAGATATGATAGTTCATCCATCGCAGCTCACTTAGATTCCTGCTTGCTAGTCTTTCAGATCCAGTATCTTGTTTTGTATTCGAAAACTTTGTTCTTTAGTATAGTTTGCTTAATCCATTGCTTGTGACAGAGATTTGTATTTGAAGCCTTTAGCTTTGTCTTTGGTTTAGATTTAAGATGTGAAATTCATCATTGCAATGTCATATTGATGCTTAGCCGTATTTGTTTTGTGGTATGGACAGTGGCCGTCATGGATTTGTAGTGGCGATAACTGGAATAGAGAGCATAGGAAAGGGTTTGATCAGAGATGGGACTGGTTTTGTCACCTTTCCAGTTAAATACCAATGCGTCGTTTTCAGACCTTTCAAAGGAGAGATTTTGGAAGCTGTTGTCACTTTGGTCAATAAGGTATTGTATATAGTTTTATATAGTCCAATGTCTTTAGTGACAAATCAGTCTAAACCTTATTGATTTTCCTAATGTATCGTAGATGGGATTCTTCGCTGAAGCTGGCCCTGTTCAGATTTTTGTGTCTAAGCATGTAAGCTTATGATCTTACATCATGAATTTGACCTCGAGTTCATTTTTGGTTCTAGGTGTTTTGAACTCACTTTTGTTCTCTTCTTTTTTTATCACCACAGTTGATACCAGATGATATGGAGTTTCAAGCTGGAGACATGCCTAATTATACCACATCAGATGGATCAGTGTGTTTCTTTCTCTATTTCTTATTTTCAACAGTGTTATCTGTGTTTCATCTATCTTCAAGAAACTCAATTTTCCTATGCTTCTCTTGCAGGTTAAGATCCAGAAGGAATGTGAAGTGAGACTAAAGATTATTGGAACAAGAGTCGATGCCACTGAGATTGTATGCACCATCTCCATAATTCTATTCACAATTCAACTTATAGTTAGATTTCTTGGTTTCTATGATTAGCTTGAGCTGTTGTGTGCTTTTGGCTTTATTCTTATCAATGTGCACATTTTGTCTTTGATTTTGCAGTTTTGTGTGGGCACCATCAAAGACGATTTTTTGGGAGTTATAAACGATCCTGCAGCGGCATAAAAGTTTCAAGCAGATTTCGATTTTGGTCTTCTTTCTTTCACAGAGAATGCTGTCTTGTGATAAAGTTGTATTATAGTTGAAGTTTGGATCTGTTTAATCCGGAAAGATTCGAACCAAGCTTGTGGGATTTAACTTAAATGCGAGTTTAGTTAACTTCGTATTTGTTCGAAACTGTTGTCATCACGGTTTAGGCCGAGAGCAATATACATACCCGAGTGGTGGAACAAATTCTACATGTCTCAATGAAAATTGTATAATTTGAAATTGAATGGATGTTTCATTGATAGTTATATTATGGAATATATTGAAACTGTTGTTTTGTAAATATAGTAGAGTCCTCCATTGTGGTTCTGTTTATCAAGTGTAGATTTGATTTTTTTTTTTTTTTCCTCCTGATTTATTATTAATTGCAAATTATGAGAACTGTTACATAGACGATTCTACAACTGACAATTTCTTCCGACCCTTATTGGATCCACGACAGCTACACTTCCTTCTTCATGCTCTTGATGGACACCTTCAATGATACACGACCTGACGACACATTCCTCTCTGCGTAGAGTCCTGGCGAACGACTGCACTTCCCTCTCTGCGTAGAATCCTGGCGAACGGCTATAATTGTACATCGTTGGAGATCTCCTACACACTTGCCTCCATTAATCTGCATATTTGTTAATAAATCGCAGTATCTGGGGTTCGAACCCCAGACCTCTTGGTGTAGAAGCATTAATTAACCCTTGGTCAACCATTGGGCCGAGGGGGCTTCCACAAGTGTAGATTTGATTATGTTATGGAAAACACATTAAAAAGTCATCAATTGCTTCTCCCATTCATCAACTTTCCTAATAGGATTTGTCTTTTGGTAAGACCTCTTTGACTATTGAGTATTGAGTATTGAGGTCATTGCCTTCTGTTTGTGTGGAATATTGACCCAAACCAAAAATTAGATTTTTAGCCAAATGTACTAACTAAATTCATTGAAAGTTTTCTCAATTTTAACACATTCAATGAATTTGAAAGTGCTTTTTCAAAATAAATTTCCATGTAGTTCATAACAATGATGATTATACAATCTTTTATATAACACATTTCGTCCTCTCAATCACAATCCCAACTTTGCTCTCTTGTTTATGAGTTTCACAAAATGGCTAAGCTTTCTACAACTCTCTTCTTAATTTGGTTAGCATTCATGTTCACCAGAGATGTGTCTGCAAATGATAATAGACAGGCAAGTTCAAGTTTTTACTCTCTTTTGTGAGATACACATTTGAACACAACTCCTTATAAATACCTTTCTCTCTGTCTCTCTTTATGTATGCAGGTGTATATCGTGTATATGGGAACACTTCCTGAGATTAAGTACTCACCACCATCTCACCATCTCAGTATGCTCCAAAAACTTGTTGGCACTAAGTAAGATTCAACCTCTTTAATTATTCGTGACCGTATTCGATCAAAACGATTTACATATGTAATTTTTATAAGAGGATCAAGATTAATTTATTCTTTGTCTCTGGTTCTTCCTTTCAGTGCTGCATCGAATTTGTTGATTAGAAGCTATAAAAGGAGCTTCAACGGATTCGCTGCCAATCTATCTCAAGCCGAGAGTCAGAAACTGCAAAGTCAGTATTTCATAAATCACAAGTTCTTACAAAGAAAATAAAAATTGTCAGAAACTTTGGTTACATCTTTTCTAAATAGTATAACCTTTGAATGTACAGATATGAAAGAGGTAGTGTCTGTGTTTCCAAGCAAAAGTCATGAGCTGACGACAACAAGATCATGGGACTTTGTCGGATTTGGTGAGAGAGCAAAACGAGAGAGTGTGAAAGAGAGTGATGTTATCGTCGGAGTGATAGACAGCGGAATCTGGCCGGAATCTGAGAGCTTTGACGACAAAGGTTTTGGTCCGCCTCCAAAGAAATGGAAAGGTTCTTGTAAAGGTGGCCTAAACTTCACTTGCAACAAGTAATTATATTCTAACCATTTAATTTGGACCTTCTAATTACGTTACTTTGATTAAATATGATTCAATTTTCCCTGACATGGTATTAATATAAGGATACTAAACGTTTAGGGTTATCTTTCTTGTGCTACAAGCAAACTCATCGGAGCTAGGTTTTACAACAAATTTTCTGAGTCAGCAAGAGACGAGGAAGGCCATGGAACCCACACTGCGTCAACGGCTGCTGGTAATGCAGTTCAAGCCACCAGCTTTTACGGCCTGGCTCAAGGTACGGCTCGTGGTGGAGTTCCCTCGGCCAGAATCGCCGCCTATAAAGTCTGCTTCAAACGCTGCACCGATGTAGATATTCTGGCTGCGTTTGATGATGCCATTGCCGATGGTGTTGATGTTATCTCGATCTCAATCTCAGTCGATTACGTCTCCAATTTATTAAACGCTTCTGTAGCCATTGGTTCTTTTCACGCAATGTTGAGAGGAATCATCACGGCGGGTTCAGCTGGGAACAATGGGCCTGATCAAGGTTCGGTGGCAAATGTATCACCGTGGATGATAACCGTCGCTGCCAGCGCTACAGACCGGCGTTTCATTGACAGAGTCGTTCTTGGTAACGGAAAAGCATTAACGGTACAGTTTCTTTTATAAATTAAAACGAGAGACATTTCACATCCTAGTTTTAATTTAGTGACAAAATTCAAGAGTCGTTGATACTCTATTTCTTAAACAGGGTATATCAGTTAATCCATTCAATCTCAATGGGACAAAGTTCCCGATTGTTTACGGCCAAAACGTGTCAAGAAAATGTTCCCAAGCCGAAGCTGGGTGAGTCTCTTCTTCTTCTTCAATTATTCCACGTTCCCATCTGAGTCTTGAATCAAACACATTGATGCTTATAATGATCATTGCTATGGACAGTTATTGCTCAAGTGGGTGTGTGGACAGAGACCTGGTCAAAGGGAAGATCGTCCTATGCAACGACTTCCTAGGATATAGAGAAGCTTACTTAGCTGGAGCCATTGGAGCCATTGTTCAAAACACATTGTTTCCAGACAGCGCCTTTGTGTTTCCATTTCCTGCCTCTTCTCTTAGTTTTGAGGACTACAAATCTATCAAGTCATACATCGAATCTGCAGAGTATGTAAATAAAAAGGAGAGTGATGAATATGAACAGCTTTGTTATTCTGTCTTGAGAGGTTAAAAGTGTGAATTTTGCAGGCCTCCACAAGCGGAGATACTGAGAACCGAGGAGACAGTTGATAGAGAAGCTCCTTATGTTCCATCTTTCTCTTCTCGCGGGCCAAGTTTCGTCATTCAGAACCTCTTGAAGGTAATGCAACCGGAACAAAGATCATTAAGCTTGTGTTGGTTTTATAACCGAATGTTAGTGGAATAACATCAATGTTAATTTCCAGCCTGACGTAAGTGCACCTGGATTAGAGATTTTGGCTGCATTTTCTCCGGTAGCTTCTCCTTCAAGTTTATTGAACCCTGAGGACAAGAGAAGTGTGAGGTATAGTGTTATGAGTGGCACATCAATGGCTTGTCCTCATGTGGCAGGTGTAGCGGCTTATGTCAAGTCTTTTCACCCTGACTGGTCTCCCTCGGCAATTAAATCCGCTATAATGACGACTGGTAAAATTTTTAAAAAACAATACTTTCTTCTGATTTTCTTACTGTTGGAAGAATACAAAAACTGAAAAACATATTATTGTCATGGTATGTTTGCAGCTACCCCCATGAACCTTAAGAAGAACCCCGAGCAAGAATTTGCTTATGGGTCAGGCCAAATTAACCCGACCAAAGCAACCGACCCAGGACTTGTGTATGAAGTAGAAACAGATGATTACCTCAAAATGCTATGTGCAGAGGGTTTTGATTCAACGTCGCTCACAAAAACCTCCGGACAGAACGTCACTTGCTCGGAAAGAACAGAAGTCAAGGATCTGAATTACCCAACAATGACTACGTTTGTCTCTGCTCTTGATCCATTCAATGTCACGTTTAAAAGAACTGTTACCAATGTTGGATTCCCAAACTCTACGTACAAGGCAAGTCTAGTTCCTCTTCAACCGGAGATTCAGATTAGCATAGAACCAGAAATACTAAAATTCGGTTTCCTGAAGGAGAAGAAAACGTTTGTTGTGACCATCTCTGGTAAAGAACTGAAGGATGGAAGTTTTGTAAGTTCGTCTGTGGTTTGGTCTGATGGGAGCCACAGTGTCAGAAGTCCAATCGTTGCTTACTCAATCCAGCCATAGAAACTCCTTTTAGCGTTTTACTAATTTTCTTTTCTTGTATCATCAAAAACAGAGAGAAGAAGAGACAAAGTTTTGAGGGACTAAGACATACTTACCTGAGAACAATGTGTATCTGTCACTACAAGCCCGTTATAATATCTGTTTCATTCTCTTTGAATCTAAGAATTCGATTCAGTTCATGTAATCTCTGATAAATTGCTTCTTTATGAGGGTGTGCTATATCTCCCACAAGAAACTCATGGATCTGGTTGTCCACTTCGATAGTACTGCATCCAGGTTCCTTCTCAATCCCTGATTCTCTCATACTTTCTCTGATTTCTGTAGATTCTTTCCATTTCCCTGATGAAGCGTAAAGATTTGATAAGAGAACGTATGTCCCAGAATCTGGATTCTCAGATTCGAATAGTCTCTTGGCGATTTTTTCACCGAGTTCCATGTTTCCATGAATCTTACAAGCACTCAAAAGAGCTCCTAACATGATATGATCCGGTTCTATCGGCATATTTTCTATGAATCTGTAAGCCTCCTCAAGTCGCCCCACTCGACCAAGAAGATCGACAATACATCCATAATGCTCAATCTGCGGTTCAACACTGAAAACTCTCCACATAGAATTAAAAACTTCAAGTCCTATATCCAGCAAACCTCCATGGCTACATGCGTTTAAAAGAGCAACTAAAGTCACCTGATTCGGCCTAAATCCTCTGTTCACCATATCCCGAAATACATTGATAGCTTCAACGCTAGCCCCATGCGTTGCTAATCCAGAAATCATCGTGTTATATGAAATGACATCATTGTCTCGCATATCATTAAAAACCCGCTTTGCCTCATTGATATCACCACACCTAGAGTACATATTGATCAAAGCATTTCCTACAAAATTACTAAGCTCCATCTTTTGGGTCTCAACAAACGAATGTACCCAACGCCCGAGCTCCAACGCACCCAAATCTGAGCAAGCAGATAAAACACAGACAGCTGTAAATTCATTAGGACTAACATTCTCCATCTGCATTTCCCTAAAAAGCTCCAACGCTTTGTTCACCTCCCTGTTTCTAACCAACCCATCAATCATCGCAGTCCAACAAACCGTATCTTTGATCTTAACATCTTGAAACAGTTCTAATGCTTCCTTAATACAACCACATTCAGAATAACAATTAATCATGACTGTTGCTGCAACCTGATCTCTGTCAGGCATTTCATCGAACACCTTCTTAGCATCAGCCAATTCCCCAGATTTCCCGTAGATTTCCAACAATTTTAGCCCCACCGATCTGCTAGAGCCGAACCCAAGTTTCAAAACCTGGCCATGAATCTCTCTACACGAATCCAACTCACAAGCTTTCAAAACCGAGGTGATCACGTAATTATCAGGCGAAACCGAATTGTGAATCATCCGATGATACAGCGAAACTCCATCAGCGGAGCGACCAGATGACACAAAACCATCAATCATGGCGGTGTATAGATAGACATTAGGATTAGATACATAACGAAACACGTCGTAAGCGTAGTCGATGGAATCAAGAGTGGAGCAGACACGGATAAGTTCGAAAACAACAAAAGCATCTTGGTCATGGAAGGTCCTAATGATCTTGGCGTGAATCGATGGAACTTGGGCATTGTTCTTGCAGTTTCGTAATAAAGAGATTAATGTTTTCCTGCGGGCTAGCCTGAGAGTATTTGAATCGGGATCACGCCGGAATGTTGATGGCCCTCCGGTGATCGCCGCCAAGGAGGAAATCATTTCGCGCTCAAATGAAGATTCTAAACCGTTAGAATTTTAGCCATACGGTTATAGTTAGCCCAATCCAAGTTGAATGGGCCTGTTACGGCCCAGTTCGTTGAGGAAGATAATATACCAACAGTGTCTATTGTACCGAAGCCGAACCGAGATTTAGAAATTCGGTTAAGTCTCACCTCAATAAACCGATTAGGACACTTTCCTATTCTCTTTCCGGTACTCTTGATCCGAAAATAAACCGATATAACCAAACCAAAATCAAACTTGAGGAAAACGAACCGAAGGTTTCAATAAACATTACACAACGAACCAAATATTTCGATAGAGAAAAATGTGTTAACTTCACTTGTCCCCTTGGTTCTAAATAGACATTTGTTGTATAAAAATATATATTCAATACTCGGAAGTGTGCCCTTGGTTCCTGATTCACTGTGCCACTGTAACCGATCCATCTTGCTTCAGCTTGATCAAGCTACTCTCTATGTTTCTAAGCACAGGTTTATAGCTGCAATAAATCGCAATAGAAAAAAAATTAACAAGGCGATAGAATCTCAACGGATTGGGGAAAGTCCCATGTGAAACTTACACGCGCATAAGCCCATTGTATGCCTGTGTTGCTTGCTGAAGTTGAGCTGAGAGTTGGAGAACTTGAGCAGATAATGATTCCGCTCTGCTCTGTTCTTTTGCAAGTTCACCCTGGAAAAAACAAATGCGGAATTTAACCACACAAACACTAGTTGTCTTGAATTTTCTATTTTAATGAGTCGGTGAGGACCAAAACCTTGAGGGATAGAGTTTCAGTTCCATGTGACCCATTTGCCTCAATTTCAGAAGACCCTCGTGAAAGAGCACCGGCTTGTTCTGTTCTTAACTTGTCCAGAACTTCACGGAGTTCTATGTTTTGCTTCAGACATTCTTTCACCTATGCAGTTTGCTACAAATCAACATAAAGTCCAAGCCCATGTTTCTAAACAAAAACAAATGTGAGACGCTTACTTGATTCTCCCACTGATTTGATATGTTGATTGATTCTTGATATGAAGCCGAGAGGTTAGAGTTTTCCTCAAAAAGCCTCTCTATTTCAGATGATTGGTTGTCAATCTCCATGAGAAGTTTTTGCCTACTACTCTCTAATCTTTCAAGTGCAACAGCCATATCATGCAACTGCTTCTCGAGTTTTTCTTTATCTTCCTACATGAAAACCATCAAACCTAAAACTAAGGGATTCCATAAAACGTGAAGGCTGATATGCTTGCAAGTGGCAAAATGGGTTACAACATTTACTTACCACTGACAATGCCTTTTGACCAGACTCTGATACTTCTGCAGAATAAATACCACCAAAAAAAGTCATTGATATGTATCCAACAATGCACAAGTCGGTAAAAAAATATCTGAATGACTCAAAAGCATTTAGACGTCAGCTAGTGCTTCCAAACACCTGCTGATTGTAACAGCTGCAACTACAGACTTGCTTCCGGAAAAAAAAGAATTCTGTGTCATCGCATGTTACCTGAAGCCCTGCTAGATAAAACTGAAATCTTCTGTTCCAGTTCCTGCTTTTCAGACATTAAAGAAGCTACTCGAGTTTGTTCTTCAGCTAAACGCTGTTGTTCTTGCTGCCTTAACACTGATTCTTTCTGTGTATGTTATAAGAACATTATTATCTTAGATAAATAGACTCTCATGGGGAACATATTATCTGTTTCAAAATAATTCAAACCTGTAATTCTAGTTTTAGGGTAGCCATCTCCTTTTCTAATATTGGTAGTTGGTCTGAGGAAACTCCCATTGGCGACAGGCCAGTAAACGAAGTACCCATTGCTTGCTGTTGTATCGAGTTAAGCTCTGCTCTCAGAGATGCCGCATCTTCCTCAGCCTATCAACAATGGATTATGGTATCTCTAAATAAAGAAGAAAGGGAAATTTAAATTTGGAAGGCAAAAAATTGTTCCATACTCGATATTGTTCCTCCTCTGCCTCTTTAACACGTCTCTTAAGAGTCCTAACTTGAGCTGAGAGATCCTCCTATAAACAATAGCTATGCCAATCAAAAATGAAATCAAGGAGGAGATAATTTTTGCACCAAAAGAACTAAAACAAGTGTATTCCCTACTCGTAAAACAACAGCAGCATCTTTCTCCATTGCAATTTCCTTAAGGGCTTTTCTCAGAGATGGCACTGTGTTTTGTTCCTGTTATTCATCCACAAGGGCATATGTCAAGACATCTTGAATCATTTTTCATATTCCATGTCAAGCCTCACAAACCATTTTGGACATGAACAAAAGAAACTGCAGCCAACTAGGAATAGATAACATCACAAATAAAAGTTTACTTGTTACATACCAGCACATTCAACCGAGTTTCAAGTGATTCATTCTCAACTTCCTTTGTTTGAAGCTGAATCCCGCAGACAAAAAAAAATAACATCATCAATACAGTTTAATCAAAATAAAAACATAGGAAACTAGCAAGGCAAAGAGGTAACTAATACCTTTGAGGACAATATCTTGTTGCGCTCCTCCATTTCTGCATTCTTCTTCTGCAGTTCTTTAAGCTGGGAATATAAAGCACCAACATCTGTCTGTGGATGTAATTCAAAACAAACCATTACCAGCAAGATCAATATATCAGTAAAACCCAATACAAAACTCAATTCAAGCATTCTCATTATCACGATCCCAATTAGATCACACAATATTCAGAGAAATGTTACCTCAGAAAGCCGATTTCCACTCTCAGATTTTCTGATCACTGGGAAATCTGCAACACATTGAAACAATCAAAATTGCAAAGCTAGGGGAAAAAAGAGAGATCAAAAACAATGAAATTAGAGATGAAATTACCGGCAGGATTTGGAATTTCGCTAAGATCTGGGCCTGATGAAGTTTTGCTTAGCCTTTGAGCAGCTCTCTTTTGACGAATCTCTTCCAACTACAAGATGAAAGAAAACACCGATGTAAGAAACCGTCGTCAGACGAAGATGAAGACGGCGGTATCGGGAATATGCTTACAGTCCGGCGACCTAGAGACGCGTGGTGCGAGTCCATGGTATGGTTCCTTCTGCACTAGATAATTTTGCCTCCGCCTCTTCTCGGCAAATTCGAATGTCGGAGAGGGTAATCGCCGGCGACAAAACGGATCGTCTGGGTTGGGCTTATTGGAGAGGTCAAAATGGGCTTATTAGCGAGGACGTTGTTTTCCATGTTTTTAAGGAAAACAAAAAAAAGTTATCTTTTAATTGCCTTTTTATCTTTTCTTTCGTTAACTTTTTTTTTTTTTCAAAATCACTGCAAATCATCACTGGTAAAAAAGTGAAAACCATTACAACCACTCGACGTAAAATGAACGGATTAGTAACCTCTATCGACCGGGAAAAGAGCTTATTTCAACCCGAATTTTTTCTATATGCCTTTTCATACGAACAAATTCACAATGCTTATTTCAACTCGAACAACTAAACAATTCACATAATCTGTATAAACACTACTAAAGTGCCTAATCAAAGTTGACGTTTACGGAGATGCACATGTTGCACTATGAAAAGAATGCTTGTGTGATTAAAAGTAAAATAACTTGATGAGGTTGAGATGCAAAATAATAATAAAAAAAGAGTTTTATTTGTTCTTTCTTTTCTTTTTTTTTCTCTTTATATTGGTGATGTTTTGAGAATAAACGCTAGAAAAAATCAGTTATATTTTGGTGATTTTGTCTATCACCCTTTGTTGGTCCCGAAGGACGGAGGAAGGTCTTAAATGTAGTCGGAGACTACCAAATTCTAACTTTGGTTGATATAGGATAATTATCTTGGAAACTCGTCCACTATAAGCATCTTTATGCTCATACCACTAACGAGATTCACTTAGATGGTACTATGGAGCATACCTCAAAAGCTTTGAACGGACGACATCATCATGAGATTCGATATGCACTTCAAAGAATTTGTTTTCAGTTTTTTGACCCAAAGAAGTTTTTTCTATTTCAAGAACTTAACTATTTTTATAACTTTGCACTATGCTTTGATTCGTCATAGTTCAAAAGAAAGCATGTTTCATCTAGATAAATAGATAATGATAAGAAATGAGAAGTATTGTTCATGCCAAGAAGGCTTGTGGGCAAAAATTACGAAAGCAATTAATTCATCTGTTTTTGTGGTGTTTGTCTCGAAATAAGCTCCTTTTATTTTTGCTTCCCATCGCCTTCTTCAATTTTCTTCTCCAACCGCTTCGTCTAACCATTTCTTTTTATTATTAACTTCCAAAACAGTTTAATTCCAACTGCGGCGGTTGGGAGTTATCAAACCTTGAACTTGAACCATCATTTTGGTTTCTAAGTGTACTCAAAAGAAAAACTCAAATTTCAGTCTTAATGATCGGAATCTTCTGATATGTCAGATGAGAGTGTGTGTGAACCACACCCACTTCTATCCTTATCTTGGCGTGATTCTTGATCACATTTCATGAAAACATGTTCTATAGATTATGTTGGCAAAGAAATAAATCTTTATACATAATAAGAAAAGGAATGTTATTAAATTTGATCCTTCCAAATAGCTTTTGAAGTATTCTATTTCAATTGTTTGCCTTGTTATGTACAATCCACTTGAAAATTTTCCAAAAAATAATTAGTTTTTTTTTTTCTATTCTTCAAAATATCAGTCAACATTTCGAAGATTCTTTTTTTTTTTTTTTTGAACAAACATTTCAATAGATACAGTATGTTCTGATCAACTGATTCAACATCACATTTTTGTTTCTATTTTTCTTATAATTCTGATATGATCGGATTTGCCATCTAATAAATAAGGAGACTAGTAGGGTTAAGAAAACTAAGAAATACTTTTACCAAAAAAAAAAAAAAAACTAAGAAATTAACCGAACTCAGTCTTTCACATATGCAGTTAAAAGTTCACGGCTTTTTAACATTTTCACTACCGGTGAAAATCTTTGTAGATCTAAACCGCGATTCACTACAGTGACAATGTGACATAACCCAAAATAAAGCTAAATTAAAAACTCTTCGTTGTCTTACACCGAAGAGCAAAAAAGGTTAAAAGAGAAAGCCCCAAAGTCGATGACTCAGGACAAAAAAACAAACATTACGAGAGAGAGAGAGACAAGAAACAACTACGTGTCTCGTCTTAGATCAACCACCACAACACTTACGTTGTCCGAACTTTGTCTAGCCAATGCAAGCCTCGTCAGCAACAGCGAAGCCTCCTCACACGCTTTATCCGGCAAATCTCCTCCTCCGACCACCACATTCCCGGCGCCGACACCTGTCATTTCCATTTCTGGTGAGGATGATAGTTGACCATTGACTTTTCCTCTCAAACACATTCGAACGACGCTACATGCAGTTTCGTTTGAAACAACGTCCCAAAGACCGTCACTTGCTAGAATAAGGAAATCGTCTCCGTTGACCCGGTCTGTCACGGTTACCTCCGGTTTGCTGATTACATACGGTTTCAAGTAATTATCTCCTGAAAAAAAAAATACGCGGCGAAACGAGATTTAATTATCATCATTATTGAACGTACGGAAAAACTCTGTACAAACATTAGGATAGGGACATAGTGTTTCGTCAAGTGTAATCAATTAACTGACCAATGGCTCGTGACATTGCAAGTACTCCAAGGACACGTGGGCCATCCCAGTAGATAACTCGACCACCCGCTGCTTTAATCCGGTCTAGCTCGTCCGGACGGTCGGGCTGTTTAATTAAAACAAGCGGAAAGAAATAGAGTAATATTGATAACAGTGACACGACGGATTAAAGAATCTACAACTCAGAAACTTTATCAGATCCTCTAATCTATAAAGTCATTAACATTCTTAATCGCCGTCCAGGTGTTGCATGCCTATTAAACAAAATTTCGATTTCCAAAAAAATTAATAATAATTAAATATAAGAAAAAATGCATTAAACAATATTGATAGGTAAGTTTGGAACGCGACACGTAACGAAATTCTCGTTTCCATTACAGTGAGTAAACCATAACCGTAGATCTAAGGGATAAAAAATTACTAACATGAAAAAAAAAGAAGAGAGATTATCAAACAATGGAAAACCTTATGATCGGAGGATAAAGCAATGGCTTTTCCTTTGCGGCAGAGAACGGCACGTGAGTCACCGCAATTCGCCACGATGATTTTCTCCGGCGTGAGAACAGACACAACCGCTGTGGACCCCACCGCGTCACAGTCCGGCCTCTGAAGCTCGCACCGGCATTTCGCCGCACCATCGGCGTTCAACGCAACAACCTCCATGTCCATGCGCGTGAAGCTACGCGCCATTGACTTTTCCCAGTCAGCATCAGCTTCGAACTCTTCACGGACCAGCTCGTGTAGTCTTTCTCTACATTTCATCGCTACCTAAACATATTATTAATATTAACAACATTAAAAATGACGTCGTAACGGTCAATTAAGGCTAATTTTTTAATTAAACGGCGTCTTACATGGGAACAGCCATGGCCATCGTAAACGCCGCAATAGTGATATCCGGTGGAGGAATATTCCGTCTGTTGACGGAAAAAAAACGGATGTACAGCGACGGCGTCTTCCATTTCCCGTCTTCTTCCACAAACTGAAGCGACGCCGTATTTAGGATAAGCTTCAGGGTCAGGCAATGCCACAACCGTAGAACTCAGAGACTCGCATAAAACGACAACTTCCTTCGCCGTTTCGTAAAACACGGCGGAGGCTGCGACGGTGGATTCTCGTTTCCTCCGCTTCTGTAAGTCACCGTCGACGAAGACAGGGTCTTGTTCACCGGAAACAAACTTAAACCTCCGGATCTCCATTCTCCTTCTTCTCGCTGCTTGAGACGAGCTCCGTTCACGTCTCCTCGTTGTCGTCGTCGTCGTCTTCTTCACCACCGTCGCCGTCGTTTTCGTCATCATAGTCTCGTTCTCGTAACAAATCTCAGCCATGCGATCGTCGAAACTGTTCAACATACACACTTCATCACTCTCCCCTGGAAAAAAGAAAAAAAGAACTAGTGAACGAGACACAGGAGAGAGAAGAAGAAGAGAAGCTTAAACAAGATTAGCCATGGAAGCTTTATATTAGCTTCTTTCACCAGAAGATATAAATAAATAAATCATCTTTATTTTACGGGCAGATGACCGAGACTTTTGAACGGGCAGATCAAAACTCAAAAATCAAATGAAGGAAGGAATGAAGAAGAGGAGATTGTTGAATGGCGTGACGTATCACTCCTCTATCTGGACGAAGAAATCTTGACCGTTGATTATAGCCACGTGTAATGGTACTTCTCCTAAATCGCGATACGAAACACTTACGTGTGCCAATCAAATTCTAACACTACTCAGACCTAAAGTGAAGAGAACCTTTGATGACACGCATGCGATCTCTCAACATTTTTTTTTATTTAAAGATTTTTACCAAGTTTTGTTGTGGAAATTTACCTTACCATTTCCATTTGTTTTTACTATAAACTACAACTAATTACGTCATCACTGTCGTCACAACTAATTAACTTTATTACGTATGGAAATCAACCAATAATTTAATATAACATGCGATCTCTAAACCTCTAATTTTATAGATTTTTACCAAATTTACTTTACCATTTCCATTTGTTTTACTATAAACTACAAATAATTACGTCATCACTGCCATCACAACTAATTACGTCATCACAATTCACAACTAATCAATTCAATTAAGAAGGTTGGAAAAACATTAACCTTTTACCAAAAATAATATTAATAATAATAATAATATTTTTATCTGAGTGAAAACTAATTTGGTGTTTTAGTCTAGTGATGATGATTCATCGCGTTGTTATATGGTGAGCGTGACAATACGGTATATATCATCGTTTGTAAAGTTTGGTGTGTTTAAGGACAAATTATTCTAGAAAAAATTGACCATCTGCGACAACGAAACATAAGAGAAAAAAAGGTGATAATTAGTAGAATATGTCACTACAAATATAAAGCTGGTGCGTGATACGTTTTAGAAACAATTTTTTTTTTGATGAAACGTCTTAGAAACAATTTGAGATTACACATGCTAATTTTTAATTAGAACAATTCCTTATTTAAAAAAATCTATGTTCAAAATTTGTGAGTTAATAATTAAATCATTTTAACACTTGTTCTGTTTCATTTGTTTAACTTGTCTGGTCTAGTATTTTTGTTCTGCGTTTGTTCCATTTGTTTCATCCCCCTTTTTTTATGCTGTGCAAACAGTCAGAGGTTTAGAATAAATATATTTAAGACGTTTTATATGGTGATTTAATAATTAATATTCAAAGATGTTTAAGGATATGTTACCTAGTTTTACAATTCAGATGACGAAAATGAATTTGAATACTTATTCATGGTTTTAATCTTGACATGTGTTCGGAATATTCAATGATTTACAATCGTGTAATCTTATGACTTATGAGACAGTTCTAATTAAAAACTGATTTAATTCTATTGTATTTTAAATATCACCATCTAATGTTTGACACATTATAATTTTCTTAGTTGATAAGCAGCATTTTGTGAATAAAATAAAAGTGAACATCATTCGGAATGATTTCTTCCCCAATGTTTGACACATTGGGATTTTGTGAATTTCAAATAAAAGTAACTAAAATTATATGCATCTCTTTAGATTATAAGTTTTCAAATTATTCACTGTTATTTAACATCAAAAATTAAATCGGGTGACAACACAACGACTATTTTTATACAAATCACTAGATTTTAACCTGCGGTACACCGCGGGATGATTTAATTTTAAAGTTAGTATAAAAATATTTTGTAAATTGTATCTCCTTATAACATATTTATTTATATTATAGTTTACAATTGTTATTAAGTAACGGTATACCACGAGTCCACGAGATAATTATTAATAAACTGAGGATTTAACCCGTATTAAAGCGGTATATAAATATTGATTCAAATTCGTCCGCCATATAAATCATTTCCGAAATATAACCCATTCCGTAATTTCTTAACCCGTCCTGTGATTTGTATTAAAAAAAATAAGGATTAAATCCGTATTGAAGCGGCGGATTAATGATATTTTAATCTTTTTATTATTGTTGATTCAAAAACCCGTCCCGCCAAACCCATCCCGCCAAAAAACTCATTTATTTTATTAATGTTCTTATTTATGATATGATTCTGAATCATTGTCTAAATATTTTAATCGATGTAGAACGTTAAACACACATTTTCGTCAATTGGATAATATATGTCCGTTTTTAAAATTTCGAATCACAGTATATGCAGAAAAAAAATTGATTTTTTTTTTTTACTTTATGTATTATATGATGATTCAAAACAGTTAAAAACAAATCAAACAAAGATGATAAGAGAATCATAATTATAAATCTTAATCAAATCTTCTAAAAATCTAAATTATTAAATATGGAATATCCGGTGTATGAGTTGGGTTAAATATAACCCGACCCAACAAATTTTTTGTGAAGGAATTTTTAAAATGGGTCGGATATCCGATATACCCAAAAGCTTTTTTACCCACCCGTCACAAAAAGTGCTGCGATTATACTAGTATAGATTGGGTACATGTTTTTCTCTACGTAGTAATTCTCTTAGCAAAAAACAAAAATATCCAAATGAATAATTACTACTAATGAAAAGCATCCCAAACAATGTGTAAGTTTGATCCACACAAAATATTATTAATAATATGATGCTGGTACGTAAGTCACGAAGTTGCATTAATCATGAACGAATATGCGGAAACAAGACGTCATAAAACAAAAACGGTATTTATATAAGAAAATCGAAAGAATGAGCTGGTAATTTGGTAAATTATCATTAGCTTTTCCTGTAAACGGTTATTTAGCTAATTTGTTTTGTTATTAATTCATGAACGCAAATGTTATGTTTTGCTCTTTTTAATGGTTTTATCCATATATTTGTTTTCTTAGCTGAGATTGATGTCTCTAAAAACTTTGTGTATTATTCGGTTTTGTCTTTTAGAGCTTTTTATTTGGATATGAATATTTGTGTAATTGGTATTTCGAATTTTATATGTAGAATTCCGGTTGAAACAAAACAAAGTAAACTATAAAAATTTGTTTTTTACAGAATAAAAACAGAAACTAACATAGGTTATATTTTGGACATGTCAAATTCGAGTGAACTATACATTCGCATTTTTTAATTAGAAATTCAGTCAGCTATTAGAAATAAACAAAACATAACGTTTTCACCAAAAAAAAAAAAAACAAAAAAACAAAACATAACGTTTTCAAATATAAAATCAATCAGGAATGGTGTCCAATGAGATGCAAGTACGTAGATGGGGTTTTTGGAAAACTGGGGACCACTTCTCTATTAACATTTAAAAACGTTGACCTCTCTCTGACCTGTTTTCTTCCTCGATGTTCGACACGTGTTTACATTCTTCACTTATGTCTTGACCCAAGATTTTTTTTTTGTCAACATTCATTTACTATGTGTTAAGTAGGATCGAGAGTTGTAATTTGGGCTTAAACTGTTATGCCGTAAAACATAATGTTTATGTAATGTGATATATTTCTTGAATACTAAACATCAATTTCGTATTAATTGCTTTTCCTTTGTTCCTTATAGTATTATTACAATATTACAATTTTATTTTATGAATTGACTCATTTTACAACCGTCACCAAAATGTCTCTTTTGAACGAAATTAATTACAGTTGTTGATAAAAAAAAAATTTGACTCAATTTTTTAAATCTTACCACAAAATCATAGATGGATCATCATCATGAGACAGATTTGCCATTGAAGGTACGTTCACCATAATTTTTATACTGAAAACATAACATGATCAATGATTTGAGTTTCTACTAAATATTAAAATGTAGCTAATAAAATATAAATGGTACAAAATGGAGACTTGAGATCGAATTTGTATAGAGGTCTTGTCTAAACGAAACTCTATACTTTTGGTATGTACGGCCGATAGAGACGAGTTGAGCTAATTAATCTACATATATAACGAATAATTGTCCCCAAAATATTGTGACCTTCCACAATTTCACAAAAAATTAGTATGAAAACCTTTGCAGTTTGCACATATTATGATATTCATATTAGTATTAATAAAAAAATAATTAAGTAACCTTACAAAAAAAAAAAAACTCATCTTTTTGCGGGAAATTCTCTGGGACGTGGCGGCAAGCAATAGGATGACGTGTGAGCTGATAGAAAAACATAGCAGCCGATGATTTGAATTATGTGGGTCCCATATTACCAAAAAAAAATCGAAAGGAAAAACGAAGCGCGTGTGACACATGACACGTGTCTTCTGAAGCTGCATAGCAGTTGCCAGGTTTTTGAAGTTGACAGTAGGCAAATACATTCTGCCACGTGAAAGCTTTATCATTTTTTTCATATATTATTATTACTAAATTGAACCAAAAACAAATACTATTATTATATTGTTTTTATTTTGTGTTTAGAATTTATAAATTTTGTCCCATACATTCGTCGAGCTCTATACCAGCAACCATCACATTCGAATCTTATGTAAATATATATAAGACGAATTTTTTTGTATCAAATTTTAGTTTACTGTTATTGTCAAATAAAAAAATTGTTTACTACTCTTTTTTTTTGGGGAGTGACTCCGAAATGTATAATGTTGGTGAACTATATCATTGATTAGGAATAAAAAAAAAAGAGTAACTGAAATATGGTTTGTTACTTTAGTAGGTGGTTGGAGAGCTTTTGCTAAGGAGACAATATATTGTCCTAGTAAAGCTAGTTTGTATAATTATCTCATCTTTGTTTTGTAACTTTGAATTGAAATCTTACCAATATGTCGTTGGAATTTCCACATCACACATTATTAGTTTTATACATTAATACCAAATGCTTTTCTTGATAATGATCAATGCCCGATCTCATTAATTTTCAAACTTGATGGTGAGTTATGTGTTTAATGGATTCTTCTGTTTTAATTTATTTCAAAACCATGAGCCAAATCCACCATATGAGAATCCATTAAACACATAACTCAACATCAAGTTTGAAAAACACATAAACTTTAAACTCAAACAAATGTAACATATATTTTACCTAGTTCTAACGACTAGTCCATGTAGAAGCTTAATGTTCCAGTCTAAACATAAATTGTTTGAAAGAAAGTTCGGCAATTACGAGAAAACCAATGATGTGTCATCATTGTCCATCAGACATAAATAAGGTTTAGGTCTAAAAGTCTAGTTTTGAGGCCTAAGGAGACGCGTGTTGGACACAAGTCCCACGTTGCGGTTAAAGGTCGTTGGGGTCGCAGTTACCTATGGAGAAGCTTTAATACTTACGTGGCAAATTTGATTCCGACACGTGTTTTCCCGGGGCAGATTTTTTCCCTGAGCCTGCATGGCCGGCAGATTGCGTAGTCTTTGAATTTTACTGTTACTTAGTCGACATTTGTCAAGTTGGCACCAACCTCTTTTACTTTTTCAAAAGGAAAATTTAGACGAAGTTCTTAACCTATGATCTAAAATGATACTATAAATGATCAAACTTTCAAATTTTCATAATCTGGCTATGAAAGTTGTAAAAACACTAGGCACACCGAATTTTATATATATAGTCGAGTTTTATTCTTTTGTTCTAATAAATGTGCATATTTTTCTGTCAACTACACTTTATATTATTGGATTTGAATCCATGACGACCATACAATACAAACACTAAGCTACAAATCCTAATATTTAAAATATATAAGAGTACGTAGTATATATGAATATTTGTTTTATACGCTAAATGTTTTGAGAAAATGATTGTTGTGGTTTGGCTAAACCGATTCAAACAAAGTCGTTGAATATTTCTCCTAACCTCGTACACTAAAAAATATAGTATGGTGAATTTTATATTTCTTTCAGATGCAAGCAAAATGGCATGTGAAATTTGACCGTTGAGTTTGGTGAGGTTGCTCATCTGATCTAATACGCCATTATATTATACTACTAATTTATGTCAATTAGTTTAATTAAAGATATAAACTGTCCTCAATCAATGTTTAAAGATGCCATCTGTATAGATCACCACGTGTTTATCAAACCCGACATTTTGCAAAACTATTTAGAAACATTTTATAATTTGAATTGACGACTGTCCGGGGAAAAAAAGGAAAAAGAAGAGTAATTAAAGGGACATAAAACCAAAAACAGAATATAGAATGGAAGAGGAATATTGGCGTACCAAAAGCAGAATACAATGGATGCAAGCTGGAGATAAGAATACCAAATATTTCCACGCTAAAACTAAGCAAAGGAGAAGTCAAAATCGCATTACTTCCATTCAGGATGCTGATGGAAATATAAAGCAATCTGATGCAGAAATTCAAGATGTAATTCATTCTTACTTTACTGACATATACTCTTCTTCTGGCAGCCCTTCTTTGGATCCTATTCTCCAGCATATTCAACCAAAAGTAACAGCAACTATGAACCAGAAGTTGACTATGCCTGTATCTGAAGAAGAAATCCTCAAGGCCGTATCTCAAATGAATATTGATAAGACGCCAGGGCCGGATGGAATGACCGCAGGTTTCTATAAATATCATTGGGATATTATCAAATCAGGTGTGGTTAAATTCGTTACACATTTCTTTCAGCATGGTTATTTGGATCCAGATATTAATCACACCTACATCTGCCTTATTCCCAAAGTTGAATCTCCTATCCAAGTCAAAGATTTTAGACCAATTAGTTTATGCAACATAGCTTATAAACTAATTTCTAAAATCCTTGCGGATAGGCTTAAACCTTGGTTGCATAGCATTATTTCAGAGTTTCAATCTGCTTTCATCCCTGGTCGTTTTATTACTGACAATGTCATTATCACGCATGAGTTATTGCATTCACTGCGTACCAAAAAGATCAAAACTCCTTACATGGCCTTAAAATTGGATATCGCTAAAGCTTTTGACAAAGTAAATTGGGATTATTTGGCAGCTATTCTAAGGCGTTTTGGTTTTGCTGAGCAATGGTGCCAGTGGGTAATGACATGTGTCACTTCTGTCACCTATTCTGTCCTTCTCAATGGTTCACCTACAAAGAAGATATTCCCGCAACGAGGACTGCGGCAAGGTGACCCCTTATCTCCATATCTTTATTTGCTTTGTACTGAAGGACTATCCTCTTTACTTAATCATGCGGTGCAAGATAATTTGATTCATGGCTTTAAGGCAAGTCGAAATGGACCATCCATCTCTCATATGTTTTTTGCTGATGACTCGCTCTTATTTTGCCAAGCTAATGAAGGAGAGTGCCAGCAAATTATCAATCTTCTTCAGATATATGCAGCTGCTTCCGGCCAACATGTCAACTTCCAAAAATCAGCCATATTATTTGGTAAGACTGTTCAACCTGAAGTTCAGAATGTTATTATCAATCTAACAGGTATATCTCGAATTGGAAGTTTTGGTCGTTATTTGGGTTTACCTGAAGTTGTTGGTAAAAACAAGTATGAGGTCTTTGCCTATCTTTCACAGAAGGTGCAAAATAAACTTGACAATTGGTATTCAAAATTCTTGTCACAAGCGGGCAAAGAAGTGTTAATCAAATCAGTAGCTACAGCCCTACCTACTTACACCATGACTTGTTTCCTGTTACCTAAGCGCCTTCTTTCCCGTCTTACAGCTCATATAAGGAGATTTTGGTGGTCCAGTCTTAAAGACAAGCAAAAAATACCATGGGTTGCCTGGGCCAAGTTGACGCAATTGAAACAGTATGGAGGATTAGGATTCAGAGACCTGTATCTCTACAATGTAGCCTTGCTAGCAAAACAGAGTTGGCGAATTCTAAAGGAGCCTCAATCCCTGCTTGCTAGAGTCCTTAAAGCTAAATATTTCTCAAAATTAGATCTATTAGAGGCTACAACAGGACACAGGCCGAGTCATGCTTGGCGAAGTATAGTCCAAGGCATTCAGCTCATCAAACAAGGGTTAAAATGGAGTGTAGGGGATGGCCAAACAATCAAGATATACCAAGATCAATGGATTGACAAACCTCCACGCCCAGCCAGAAGATCCAGCCAATCTGTTAATGATCACCAAAAAGTTTCAGAACTGATGTTACCCAATACAACTCAGTGGAGTGATGCCAAGCTGGAAGCTCTAGTGCATCCTGATGATATTCCGCTTATAAAGAGAATCAGACCAAGAATTATTAGAGCACCGGATATCCCAACCTGGATATTCACAAAAGATGGTCAGTATTCTGTTAAATCGGGCTATCATCAGCTCTCGAAAATTCAAACTATTTGCTCCTCTGAATCTTTAACAAATAATGCTATCTGGAAATCAATATGGGCTCTTCATACACCTCCAAAAATAAAACATTTCTGGTGGAGAGTTTTACACAATGCTCTCCCTGTTGCAGACAATGTAGCCCATAGGCGTATCAAGATTCCAACAGATTGCATCTTCTGTGGAGAAGAAAAGGAGACTATTATGCACTTATTATTCCAGTGCCGGCTAGCAAGAGAAATCTGGGAGTTATCTCCTCTCACACTTCCACCAGGTCAGTTTGAAGGAATACAAACTCTACATAATGTCGTTCAAAATTTACTGACCATTAGTCCCCCTGATCAATCTAAGGATTATCTTTTTCCTTATATTGGCTGGCGCATATGGAAAGCTCGTAATGATTTGCTATATAGTAATAAAAGATGGTGTATCCCTGATATCATTCATCAAGCCATCTTAGACTTGAATCTCTGGAGAGAGGCACAATCTGCATTGAATCCGCCTCATATTCGTCATATAGAGAAGCAACAGCCTAGAGATTCTACTAACCAGGGGACCCTTTGTTTTAATACCCCTTTATATTGCTGTACAGATGGCTCCTGGATTGACTCAACATCCAATGCTGGATTTGGCTGGGCTTTATATAATCAACAAGGAATATGCATCCTTCAAGGCTCTTCATCCATACCACCTACAAGCTCAGCTCTAGAGACCGAAGCCATAGCTTTGAGAGAAGCGATTATCCAGACTAAGAGGCTTAATTATCAACAGATCACTTTCTGTGGTGATTCTCTTACACTTTATAGCTTCTTAGAAAGAACAGCTCATCAATGTCATCTCAGACCTGGACAGGCAGAGATCCAAAGGTATTTGGATGATATCCTTGTGTTGTCCAAGGATTCTTATCAGTTCCGCTGTATAAGTCGCAAAGATAATGTCGTCGCTGATACCTTGGCAAAACAAGCTAGATATAGAAATGCATCTTATGTTGTATCTTGGTTCCCTTGAATGTATTTTGAAACTTGTAAACCTTGTTTCTATATCTAATAGATAAGTTGGTCGACAAAAAAAAAAAAAAACCAAAAACAGAAAAATTCCAATTTCTTCTCTACGAAAAGTTTAATTACTCATGCTTCCGTCACGACACAAACGACACATGTCTATCGGTGATATATACAAATCAAACTTTTCTAGATTTTATATATATGCTTAAGAAGTAAGAACCCAAAGTATGAAAAGTATATGATTCGTGTCGTGATAAGCACTTGGTCTAGTGATCTACGATAACTTTTGTAAAATTTCTTATAAATCATCTATAATTAATGTAGTATTATGATAGTTTTCGTAAATCTTGTTTGTTTAACAAGTTGCCTGGTAAACACTGCTCTTAACTCTTAAGAAGAGCTAGCTAGTTGTTGTTCTGGAAAACTATCCAAATTAAAGAAATGTATTTGAAGGTTACAAGGTCGAGTTTTAATGTTAGGAAAAAGACTAAATTTATGTACTCTAGTCCTCGGGTGGAGAAAATTATGAGTCAAAATCCTAATAAAAAAAAGTTGAACCCATGGTATTGGAGTTTTTTTCGATAGTCTACTAATTAGCATGTTGATTGTTCCATTCTCAATAAGTTAGGCTAATGTTAATCTATATAGAACAATGACGATGACCTTACTACAATGACGATGCACAGAAAAACCTAAAACGACGTTGTTTATTGCGTCCCTTACTTTTATTGTATTGGCCCAAAGTCCAAGTTTTGTCACATGACATTTTTACTGGGCCAGTCATTGCTAATCTCAGCCCAAAACAACTAAACTAGGAAAAATATTTGCACCCAAACGGACGGCTGAGATTGCATCCTATGTTGAGTCGGTGTTAAAATTTGGTAAGGGCTTTCTCACGTAATTACTTAAGTTTAATGAGGGTATTTTCGTAAATAATCAGCGTATTTTTTCCTTGTTTCGGGTTGAGAAGTTGGACCCGGAAGAACTAATTTAATTTCGGGTCGGGTTATAAACCTCTATAAATACACCTCCCTATATGGTAAAGCCCGCTTCACGATTTCTTCTTCTTCGTCGTCGTCTCTCCCAATCGTCCAATTAAGCTCCGATTCACTTTCTCCGGCGAACGGTAATTATAACTCTCAATTAGGGTTTCAAAGAAAACCCGAAACTCACATCACCTTGAGATAATTGTATTTATACTCTCAATTAGGTTTTAGAACGCTTCGATGGAGTTGTTCTTGGGTCTCTCTTTCGCTGGCTGATGTTTATCCCTTGTATCTGATTTTTATTAATATTTATTCTTCTCTTTGTAGGTTTTCTTTGAATCGTATCACGATGGTGTTATCGACGAGCGACACTAGCACCTCTTACAACTATGTCATCGATGACGTTATCAACAAGTCTCGATGCGAGCTCGTCTACAATGGAGAACTTGAAGAGAGTGTTCTTAGCCAGATTCAATCGGTTAGTTGAAACTTGAAAACTCCTTTGCAAGTTAGGGTTTTAGGAGGATGCAGGGGATTTTTTGAAACTGATTGAGAACTTTATGTGTCTATAGAAGTGGAAAACGAAGATGATACAAGCCGGAGTCATAACCGGAACAATCGAACCATCTACTGCTTCGATTCCCGCACCTCCGATATTGCAGACGACTCTTCAGACTCCGCCGAATGCAGTTCCTTTACCTGAGAAGATGTCCATAAAGAAAGAGTGTGATGAATTTTATATTCCTCAGCAAGATGGAGCTAGAGATGAAGCTATGGTCACTTATGCTCCTAATGGTGATTTGCAGATTTGAATATAATGCTACAGTTTTATTTAATGTTGTTCTGGTTTCTCACTTGTGTGAATGATGAAGATGTAGATGAGAATGAAGAGCTTTTGAACGAGGACGATGATGATGAGGAAGATGATATGGATGATGATGATATTAACATTCCACATTTGGTCATGTGTCAATTTGATAAGGTAATGACTATAGTTTTTCATTGGAACAAGTACTAACAATGATGATGAACTCAAAACTTATACTTCCAACTACTTGCAGGTGAAGCGTTGCAAGAACAAGTGGGAGTGCAAATTCAATGCGGGTGTTATGCAAATAAACGGCAAAAATGTTCTTTTCTCACAGGTTTGAGACAAACTTCTTCACAATAACAAAAGATTGTTCAGATTTCACTTTGGCTCACGTATCCTCTTATTTTATGCAGGCCACAGGAGATTTCAACTTCTAGAAGATGCTACTAGATTTACTCACTTCTGATTATGCAGAAGATATTTTGGATTTGTTTCATTAATAATACCTCTTTCCAAGGGATTTATTAAATGGAATTTGCGAAATTTGACTATAAATGATCAAAATCCATAAACATGAAGATCTCTCAATGCAAACTCTAAACTCAACAAAAGAATAAATAAGGCTTTTCAACTATTAAGATCAAAAACGTAAAGTAACTAGAATGAAAAATTTGTTTGTTTCTTATGCAGCACCAGCATTCTTGCCCTTCTTCTTTTGAAGTTTCTTCATGTAGAATTCGAGCTCTTTTCCTTCCAATATGTACCTATTTCGAATTACACCAAAACAAGGATCAGCGTTAACTCAGAGAAAAAAAGATGTGATGATTTCAAACCAAAATATTTTGTTCTTTACCCATCAGCACGGCCACATTGTCCGGGTCTTGATGCGATACATGCAAGCAACCTTCCACTGCTAAACTGCTCTTCAAGGTGAGAGTCAAGTGCTCGGCCTTCTTGTCGCATCTCCAGCTTCCTTTGAACATGATTGCTCTTCTTCACTTCCTCAGTGGTTACTGCATCTCCTTCCTATACAGACAAATGAATCAGAATCGGTTTATCAAAGAAGAACAGTCACCAAGTAATCATCATCATCAAAGAAGACAAATGAATCAGAATCGGTTTATCAAAGAAGAACAGTCACCAAGTAATCATCATCATCAAAGAAGCCAAACCTCTCCTTCTTTCTTGGCTGCAGCAGCTTTCTTCTTGCGACCAATATCAACTCCATAGTGTTGGAGATACCCTTGTTTAAACGGAGCAGCATCAACTAGAACAATAGCACTCTTCACAAGAGTTTGTGTACGAACAAGCTCATTGTTTGATGCATTGTAAGCCACATCCAAGATCCTAGTCTTGCGAGACACAGCTTCGCTTCCCCACGAGAAGTTTCCTGTATCGAGCCTCAAAGCTCTCCACTTTACATTCCCACCCCGCACACGGATCCTCCTCACTGTCTTGTTACTTGATAGCTTAGTGTTAGCTGGTTGTCTTCCAAGCTCATACCTTTATAACACATAACCAAAGTTAGTTTCAGTGATCAAGTTTGCTTCAACCACAATCAAAGAACAAGACAAGATCATGATACATTTTGATTCCAATCTAAGCTCTAATTCAGAGGAAATTATCAAAATTGAAGCAGTGGAAGATAAAAAAAGCTTACTTTCTCTTCTTTCTCCACATCTTCTGCTTACCACCAGTGGCACGTCTCTTGTGAATTGAATCACGAGAGATACCTGCAAAACAGAGAATCAACGTTGATGCTATAGAAGTTACATCTTTGTAAGAAATAGAACGAGAAAGAAGCGGAATTGAAAAAAAATACCCATGATTTCAAAAGCGTTTGATTCAAGCTTTTAGTTCTCACGAGCTTCAGAGGTTTAAGAATGGCGGTAGAGAAAATGATAGAGACACAGAGCTAGGGAGAACGGCCTATTCCCCCCTGAACTATGTTGCTTTATCGCTTACATACACAAAACTTTAGTCTGTGCCTAAACCATCATGAACTTCAATATAATTTGAATTTTCAGCACAAACTTTAAACATCCGGTGGAAACCCTCAAATTGCTAGACGGTGTTACTTTTCCGTTAACGGATGCTGACTAGGACGACACGTGAGCGTTTAAAACGACTGCGTTTTGACATACGTGGACTCTCATTAGACACAGAAACAAAACGACGTCGTTTTGATTTGAGCAAAACGACGTCGTTTTGTAATTTGGGGCTTTTAGTCGAGTTAGGGTTCATCTTCTTCCCTTTCTCGAGCCAAAATCAGAAATTGAGAGGAAAGACAGAGTGAGACGAAGATGGGTGATAAAGGAAGAGGGATTCCAAGTCGATGTAGATGTGGAGAGGATGTAGTTTTGAGGACATCAAAGACTATTAAAAATCCAGGGAGGCTCTTTTATGCTTGTCGATATGGAGAGGAGGTAATGCTATTGTAGTGTAATTGCGCTTAAATTATGAGAAATGTCTGAATTGTGTTTTTGTATGTTGCAGAATGGTCGTGGTCACTTGTTTAAGTGGACAGATGAAACAATGGTTGAAGAGATGGAAGACATAATTCCAAAGATTGATGAACTTGAAAGAGCTTCCTTGACATTACAAAAAGGTACAGTGCATATTCTGCACAAGAAGGTGATTACAGACAAGAAATTGAATCCGGAAAACTACATTTCATCTTGGTATTTGACTTCTAGGTGGAGAAATGAGTACAGTGCATATATAGATGCGGTAAGAGGCTGCAACTTCTGGAGGAAATCCGGTGAGACTGAGCTTGTGTTACCACCAAAACCAGAAGGTAGAAAGAGAATCCCAAAAAGAATCAAGGAGAGGAATGAATCACCACAGAAAAAGAAGAGCAAAGGCAAAGAGAAGGAGCTTAAACTTTCTAGAAAGAAGAGAATAATTCATTGTGGAATATGTGGTGGAGAAGGACATAACACAAGGAAGTGCCAATTCTTTGGACCTGCTCCTTATAGACGTCCAAAGAAGGTTACAGAGAGTGCAACAGTTGGATCATCAAGTCAGCCAACACAAAGCCAAGTCATTGACTAAACTCTCAGGTTTGTAGATGATGCTCTATAATATAGATTCAGTATATGAGATTCAGATTTCAAGTTATTTCCTTCTTGTTGCAGGTTGTTAAAACGGTTTGCAGGGTCTTTTTGAAGGAAGGTTTTGGTAGTGAAGGTGCTCTGAAAGTTTTTATAAGAGCATTTAGGGGATTCGGATAATATTTTGGTTATGTATCATTGTATCTTTAGGATTAATGTTATGTTGACTTATGGATTAAGGTTTTTGTAACCAAATGATAATTCTGTTTTCAAATTATGGTTAAGTCAATTTCTTTTGAGCATTGTTAGTGCATAATTTTCCATTACATAAAACAATGTCTGACTAACACATAAAGAAGAACCAGAATCATAATCACTAACACATAAAGAAGAACCAAAAACATAATCACTAACACACAAACACATAAACAAGAACCATCAACACTACACACACAAGAATGTTCTTCAAACCACGCAATTCCATCTTGCAGCCTTGAATCTCCTTCTCTAAACCCCGCAGCTCCTTCTCAAAACCGCATACAACAGCTTCACATGAACGAGTCTCCATTGCAAGAGTTTCCATCTCAGATTCTAAAGCTTGTAAACCTTTTTGTAATGTCAAGGAAGCTCTTTCAAGTTCATCAATCTTTGGAATTATGTCTTCCATCTCTTCAACCATTGTTTCATCTGTCCACTTAAACAAGTGACCACGACCATTCTGCAACATACAAAAACACAATTCAGACATTTCTCATAATTTAAGCGCAATTACACTACAATAGCATTACCTCCTCTCCATATCGACAAGCATAAAAGAGCCTCCCTGGATTTTTAATAGTCTTTGATGTCCTCAAAACTACATCCTCTCCACATCTACATCGACTTGGAATCCCTCTTCCTTTATCACCCATCTTCGTCTCACTCTGTCTTTCCTCTCAATTTCTGATTTTGGCTCGAGAAAGGGAAGAAGATGAACCCTAACTCGACTAAAAGCCCCAAATTACAAAACGACGTCGTTTTGCTCAAATCAAAACGACGTCGTTTTGTTTCTGTGTCTAATGAGAGTCCACGTATGTCAAAACGCAGCCGTTTTAAACGCTCATGTGTCGTCCTAGTCAGCATCCGTTAACGGAACAGTAACACCGTCTAGCAATTTGAGGGTTTCCACCGGATGTTTAAAGTTTGTGTTGAAAATTCAAATTATATTGAAGTTCATGATGGTTTAGGCACAGACTAAAGTTTTGTGTATGTAAGCGATAAAGCAACATAGTTCAGGGGGGAATAGGCCGTTCTCCCCACAGAGCTATAAATAGTTTACTCTCCCAAACACAAACAAAAAACCCTAAAACGTCAAATTTACAATCGTGTCCTTGCTTCAAATACAGCCACACATTAATGAAAGAATCGATTTTTAAAAATAATTATTTATCAAGAGTCAAAATCTATAGAGGATGAGAGATAAGCGACCAAAATTAGCGGGAGAATCCTCAGTTGTCTCAGTCCGATCCGATCATGGCTTTCGCTGTCTCGGTTCAGTCACATTTCGCAATCAAAGACTTAAAACGAGAGCAGTTCAAGAAGAACCATTATCCTCGTACTTTCTGCTCGTGTTTTAAAGCGAGGTCTGACTCGTCTTACCTAAGTTCAAAGGAACGTACTTGCTTGGTTTCCAAGGTGGATTTAGTCACTACTAGATACAGAAATAAATTCCAGGTGAGAATCAGTTTTCTGGATTTTGATTTCTTCTAGAAAAGTTTCCAAAGTTTTGATTTTTTTCCGGTTTTGGTTCATGGTTAGGTTGGAGCTGGGACGGGAGGAGAGTTAGCCGACGGTGGAGAAGTAGCTGATTCGCTTGCTTCTGATGCATTAGAGTCATTTTCTTGGTCTTCCGTGATACTCCCGTACGTATTGATCCGTCTCGTTATTTCAATTAACTGTTCTAGATATGTCAATTTTCTGAGTGATGTGTTTCGATTGCCTCTGTAAGGATCTTGCCTAATGAATTTATTTGGCTAGATTGATCTTCTTCGCATTGCAATGATTTAATAGTATTGTACTTGAATCGTAGGTTTATCTTCCCGGCTTTGGGAGGATTGTTGTTCGGGTATGACATTGGGGCCACCTCTGGTGCTACGCTCTCACTTCAGGTTATCTACATTCTCTGGTTTTATCTACTTACATATTAGTTTCCAAACTTGACATTATGTGCTGTCTCATATGGTCTTGAACAGTCACCTGCGCTTAGCGGAACTACATGGTTTAACTTCTCACCTGTTCAGCTAGGACTTGTGGTATGTTGCTTGGAGATGATTTTCTATATTTAAGCGGTAGAGTTAGCAGAAATGATAGTTTTTACTGCATTTTATTATGTAGGTTAGCGGATCCTTATATGGAGCCCTTCTTGGCTCAATTTCTGTCTATGGCGTTGCTGATTTCCTTGGTAAGTCTTGTTTTTTTTTGTTTAATAGTCGTTCTTCTTAACTGGTTGCAAGTATCTCATTCTGGTTTTCTTCACATCTTTATGAAGGAAGAAGGCGGGAACTTATTATAGCTGCTGTTCTCTATCTCCTCGGGTCTCTGATTACTGGCTGTGCCCCTGATCTTAATATTCTCTTAGTTGGAAGGCTTCTCTATGGCTTTGGTATTGGTTTGGTGAGCTCTGGAAACCCTGACTCCTTATGGTAATTTCTTTGTTACTTTTGTTGTTGATTGTTGTTTAGTGTTTAATGTAAATTGGTTTTGCTTGATAGGCAATGCATGGGGCTCCCCTCTATATTGCTGAGACATGCCCATCTCAAATCCGTGGAACTTTGATATCTCTGAAAGAACTCTTCATCGTATTGGGAATTTTGGTAAATGTCGATGTCAATCTTTTCCCTGTATGATTTCTGCGTAATACTTTTACTGAATAATCTTGATTTCCTTCTTGTGCAGTTGGGTTTTTCTGTTGGAAGCTTCCAGATTGATGTAGTTGGAGGGTGGCGTTACATGTATGGATTTGGTACGCCTGTTGCTTTGCTGATGGGACTAGGCATGTGGAGTCTCCCTGCATCTCCTCGCTGGTTGCTGCTTAGAGCTGTCCAAGGTAAAGGACAATTACAAGAGTACAAAGAGAAGGCCATGCTTGCCCTCAGCAAATTACGTGGCAGACCTCCAGGTGATAAAATTTCGGAGAAGTTAGTAGATGATGCCTATTTATCTGTGAAAACGGCCTATGAAGATGAGAAATCTGGGGGAAACTTCCTGGAAGTATTCCAAGGGCCTAATTTGAAAGCTTTGACAATTGGCGGAGGTTTAGTCCTCTTCCAACAGGTGATTCTTCTTCGCTGTTTCCATTTGGATGAATGTGTGAGCATTTTTGAAATAATTTACACTCTGCTTCGCTGTGACAGATAACTGGACAGCCTAGTGTTCTTTATTATGCGGGTTCGATTCTTCAGGTATGCTTGCCTTAACATTGAAGTGAATGAGATTACCTACTAATTTTTACTGCCTTAGTCGGATGGTTAATGAGACTTTATGCTCGGTTATCTATTCAAAGACTGCTGGATTCTCTGCTGCTGCTGATGCAACTCGAGTCTCTGTTATTATTGGTGTTTTCAAGGTGCTCATTTCTTTTCTTTTTTGATGTGTAAATATCTTATATGCTAACAAGCTTTCGTTATTCAATCCTGACCTCTTCAATTGATAACGCTCTCGAAGTTACTGATGACATGGGTAGCTGTTGCGAAAGTTGATGATCTCGGCAGACGACCTTTACTGATTGGAGGTGTCAGCGGCATTGTATGAATCCATTTTTATGTCTATATCTTCTTTTTCTTGTTTTCCATAGAAAAAATATCATTTCTTATATTTCTTCCAAATTCCAGGCGTTGTCCTTGTTTCTACTGTCAGCATACTACAAGTTTCTCGGAGGCTTTCCCCTTGTCGCCGTTGGTGCACTGCTTCTCTATGTTGGTTGTTACCAGGTTTGTACTCTAGCTCACTGTTAGCTGTGGCTACATAGTTTTATCACTAAAATCTCAGCAATATTCACTAAAAAGTATTTTCCCCTCTGTTTTTATTTCCTACGAACCAGATCTCATTTGGACCCATCAGCTGGCTAATGGTGTCAGAGATTTTCCCGCTTCGCACAAGAGGGAGAGGGATCAGTCTTGCTGTTCTTACAAACTTTGGATCCAATGCTATTGTGACCTTTGCATTTTCACCCTTAAAGGTATTTTTTTCTGTCCCCGCTGGTTCAAATTCCCTTGAAGTTATTAGTAACACTATCAGAATGTGCATTCTCTGTAGGAATTTCTTGGAGCCGAGAATCTTTTCCTTCTCTTTGGGGCCATAGCACTGGTATCACTGCTGTTTGTGATACTAGTAGTTCCAGAGACCAAGGGTCTCAGCTTGGAAGAAATTGAATCAAAAATCTTGAAGTGAAATGTTAAAAACATGTTTGTTATTGTTAATTCTGGTGAAATACATGTATATTGATTTAACTATTTTCTTTGTAACATAATATGTTTCATACTCTATTGGAAAACCAAACCTTTTTCATGATCATTCGAGCAGTAATTGGATATTTTTGGTTGGGGATGGAAACGACAAAAACTGGGAGGTACGCATTAAGGTTTTCCCCAAGCTTAAGTTGGTATTTCACTCTCTCTGTTCTAAGTTACTCCCTTTATGGGCTGTTTCATTTGATTAATGAAAAACGATTAAACATCCTCCTGCTCAGATTAAGGGACCTGAATAGCTGGACCAATCATAGGAATGAAGAGTTGATTTGGCAACATCAGCACTGGGGAGATCACATACCTTCTGCTCTGCGAGCTATGTATGTAAACTACCATTGTCTCTCTCTCAGTAAATGTATGTCCTTTTAATGGATTCACATTAAGGTGCAAAGGCGAAGAAATTGTAACGATATGTTTGAAACCATAGCATTCTTCCACTGATTTTCCAGGTAACTAGTTTTATGACAATGTTTTTGCTGATTTTGTAGGTTCTTGGGGAAAGCCAAAGGGGTAAACTAGATGCAGTATCTGTACAGTGTCAAATTACCGATCCCAGAAGTGTCTGGAGGCATTTCAGGCAATATATGATCATTTCCTTCAAGATAAGGTATGTCCTCTGGCTTCTACCACAAACAGAGTAGCCCAAGCTTCAGTATCATATCCATAGATAGAATCCTTCCAATCTAGTATCGACACACGAAGCCAACCCCTTTATGATGTGAAACTTTAACGACCAACTGAAGTTAATTTTTCTTGGTTAAACAATAAGTCGTTGAGGTTCATATGGCATCAAGGGAACATAAAGAAATGATGTTTTTATACAAAAGAAAGTAGTTTACTG